CTAGCCGATCAACGTTGCCGCTCTCAACTACTACAACTACGGGGCCACCAATACTATTCTCAAACGACGACGATGCTACACTCCGTACTCCACGGAGACTTTTTTTTTCTTTTTTGCTGGCCGCACTATCTCGCTATCCCACTGTATTATTACTTGTTACTCTGTGGCACCGTGCATATTACGAGAAATCTGCTTTATCGGTATTATTATTACTTTAGCTGCCATCACCATCTATGGACTTGACTGAGCCTCGCTCGCTCGCCTGCTCGCTTGCCCTCACGCGTAATAATATTCGCCCCCCCCTTCCCCCCCCTCCCCACCCCTGCCTGTCTTGATCCAGGGGGTAGATGCAAGTAAGTATCCGTCGAGTAATTCGTCGAGTTCATGTTGATTGTTGTTGGTTCCCTCCTTCTTCTCCGTAGAGCCGCCGTGTCGCATTGGGCACGCAATGCTGCTCTGACCCGTTGGCTCGAGAGTATTATTAGGATTGCTTGACGCGATGCAGAGAATGGTCGTGTACATGTAGTGACGAGGGTTGACTATTCCAGGCGCGGCGGAACCTTGATATTGTCAACATCGTTCAAGGACCCAGGAGAGCACCAGAGGCGGCGGAGCAAAAAGCCCGACGACGATGCTGCTGTCGTTCAGATATTAAGATGATCACAACATCGTAGCCTTCCTAGTATCATTACTACTACCGGTGATATGCGTGTCTTATGCGTACTGTACAAGCAGTGTCTGTTTGCGCACGTGCGTATGTGTTGACGTCGAGTCCCCTTCAATCTCATGCCCGACACCGGCTTGCGATCGTCCCGGAAGCAAACAGAGCCATGGGAGGATTTGCCCGAGAATTGCTGTGCCGACATCATGGTTTCTCATGGTACTGTCATCGACGCTGTAAATCGATAACCTCCTCCACACCTGGAGCCAGTAGTCTTCTCCGCTTACGAGTCGTCACGCCGGCTCCGACCTCTTGTGCTTCTCGTCCATCATTCCCACCATGATCATCATCATCGTCGTCGTCATTGTCGTAGTCATCGTCGTCGTCGTCGTCGTCGTCGTCGTCGTCGTCATCTTCATCGGTAACGTCCGCCTCGGTAAAGACCAGATCCCCCTTCCGGCCGAGGATATGGCGACTCTCCTCCTCGAGAAGGATACCAAACGCCAACAGGGCCGTCTCATCCATGCTGCCTTCATCAGCGACGTGACCGGCCACGACGCCGCCGCCGCCGCCGCCGCCGGGATGGGAGGAGGAACGGCGCCGCATCGCGTAGAACTTGCTGGCGTAGGAGTGGACGGCCTTGAGGAGATCGCTGTCGGGGAGGCCGCCGCGACCGCCGCGACCCAGCCGACGCTCGTTGGCGTAGTAGATGTCGTGCTCGGCGTAGCGCTCGGGAGCACCGCGTCGACGGAAGAGCACCTCATCCGGGCCCAGGGCTGCGCTGCGCGTAGAGCTCTTGACTTCGCCGTCCTTTCCGTCCCCTGGCCTCTTCTTCCTTGCTGTGATTCTGCCTGTGGAATGGACCGTGTCAGTATCATCTGTTTGTCTGCTCGTTTGCTTCCTCTGCAAGGAAGGGGGTGGGCATGATGAACCTGCTGCTGCATCGTAGACGGTAGCTTGATGCCTATCGCGCTGACCGTACTCGTCTCCTGAGCTTTCCGAGATGCCATCATCCGAGCCGGACATGATGCCTGCCTTTTTGCCGTCCTTTCCTTGAGTTCCGACACCTTTTCTCTCTGTTGCGACGTGTGGTTTTTTTCAAGAGACGTGTGTGTCTGGCCTACCCGGGGGGTTGGTCGACGTGATTCTCATTCCAACATTTCTCCATGCAACTTTAGCTTGGCCGCTCTCAGAATCAGAGAGGTGATGTGGGCTGGACAGGGGGAGCCCGAGAAGATGAATCGGTCCATATATAATGGATGGTGATGCTTTGGAGAGAGGTCAAGTCAAGAAGAAAAAATCATACCAAGAAACTGTATAAAAAAAAAATCGGCTTATGCTATGACGTCGGGGATTGGTGGGGCCTTTTCGCGACGCCATTCAAAGTAATCTGTAGATAGTAGTATCATCCAACTCCCATCTTCCCAGCTTCATCATCATCAACCGTATTTCCTTATATCAAGCCTTCTCGTCTAATTAATATACAGAACTCAACAACTCCCTCACACAAAAAAAAAAAGAGGGGAAAAAAGACAGCAGCAGCTGCGCAGTCCAGATGAATGCAAGCGTCTCTCCTACTAGATCGCGAAACGGGCGACGCGCCACCCCACGCCTTGTCGCAGACATTCACCAGCCAGCTCCTCCGGTCGTTCGCGCCAGCTCCTCAGCACCGCTTCAACGGCGACGCAACCCTGTCCGACGATGAGTCCGAGAACCGACCGCACAACATCCGCGCCCACGGCGCCGGCGTCAGCAGCCTGGCCGTCGAGAAGTTCGATGGACGGATCCTCGTGTCGGGCGGGACCGAGGGCGCCATCAAGATCTGGGACCTCGAGGCTTGCGGGGCCACGCAGCACGGCACATATACCTTCCGACCGGCCAGTACGATAGCTCGATGCCCCCCGGCGGCAGCAGCGAATAATTACAGAGTAGGATCAGGAGCGGGAGGAGGAGGAGGAGGAGGAGGAGGAGGAAAGGGAATGGGCCACACGCACGGCATCACACATCTCGCCTTCTACCCCTTCGACCCGGACGCCTTCCTGTCCAGCTCGTACGACAAGACGCTCCGGCTATGGTCGACGGCAACGTCGCAGCTCTCGGCGTGCTTCCACCTCAACGCGACGATATACTCGCACTCGACGAGCCCGGTGGCCGACCACCTGATCGTGGCGTGCGCGACGCAGCACCCGCACGTGCGGCTGGTGGACCTGCGGTCCGGGTCGGCGGTGCAGGCTCTCGCGGCGCACGGCGGGCCCGTCCTGTCCACAGCGTGGAGCCCCCGGCAGGAGCACGTGCTGGCCAGCGGCCACGCCGACGGCCGGGTGCGCGTGTGGGACGTCAGGCGGGCGGGCGGACCTCTGGCCCAGCTGGACCAGGAGGACTCGCTAGGGGTGGTGCACCGGTTCGAGCACGCCGCGGCCGCCGGCGCGCCGGGCCCGCCGTCCGTGTCGCGCGCCTCGGCCCAGGCCCACGACGACGCCGTCAACGGCCTGGCCTGGACGCCCGACGCGCGTCACATACTCTCCGCCGGTCTGGACTCGCGCATCCGCATGTGGGACGCCGCCACCGGCGCGAACACCCTCACCGGCTTCGGCTCCGCCGTCCAGAACCGCCACGCCAAGACGGCGCCCCTGATCGCCACGCCGCCCTGCCTGTCCGACCCCCGGCGCAGCCGCCGCCACGGCGACGTGCTCTTCTGGGCAAACGACCGCGAGATCCTCGTCCTGGACCTTCACGACGGCAAGGTCGTCACCCGCCTGCGCAGCCCCGGCGCCGCAAACGTCAACCCCGTCGGGCCGGGCGGCGCCGCCGAGATGGGGAGGAACCGCATCTCCTGCCTGGCGTGGCGCAGTGCCGGCGGCGGAGGGGCGTCGGTCGGCCCCATCATGGGCGGCGGTAACTCCATCGGCGCGCTCTACAGCGCACACCTCGACGGGCACATCCGCGCTTGGATGCCGCAGGTTCCCGGTCCAGATGACTTTGACGAAGACGACGAGGCTGATGATGTGGACGGGGACGAGGAGAGCAGGAGGAGGAGGAAACGAAAGGCCGTTGACGACGCGTATAGAAGTCTTATGGGAAAGCAGATTACATTTACCTAGGTAACGTGTATAGAATAAAAAGTTGGAAAGAAAGAAACGAAGAAGAAAGAAAAGAGGAAGAGGGAAACACCAGAAAAAGGCTCCTGATACCATCTATGCATTCTAATCCGTAGAAGAAGGAGAAAAAGATGAGAAATGGAGAAGAAAGGTGAAGGAGAAGAAGAACGAGATAAGCATCCGTTATGGGATGCAGGCATCACACTCTCACCACCAAGCATAGCCATCCATCAGGGTACGCTGCCTCCCTCATCAGATCCCCCAAGGGGGCATCGAACGGCACCGACGCACCGTGCATGATGACGCTCGCCAGCACGGGATCGCGGCTGCTCGGAAAGAGGTCAGGCATGAGGCTCTTGAGGGCCTGCCCCAGCAGCTGCGGCCTACGCGTGTCACGCACCACGGCCGGCACGGGCGCCTGGAAGACCCTGAATGAGCCGCCGCCGACCGACTTGCCAGGCTGCGTCTCCGGCGCCTCGGGGATGTACACCCTCAGAGGCACATGCTTGAGGGCCGTGGGCGCATCCAGCAGACGCGTGTTGATGCGGTGGAAGGCAGAGTGGTCATTGTCCACGACTGCATGCCACAGTTGCGTGGTGTGGTCTTTGGACATCTTCATGATCTGATTTGCATTTCCGTTGCGGATAAAATCGGCCTTTTTTTTGGGGGGGGGGGGGAGGAAATAGAAGAAGATCACACAAGAAGCTCGTCGTCAGCATTCCTCTTTCATGTAGATGGCATTCCTATTCCAGGATAGATGAGGTGGCAGGAAAATACCTCCTTGACGGCATTGAGAAAGGTATCACCAATGTCCCAGCCCACACCCTCATTCACAGTCAACCTCCACGGCAGGGAAGGCTCGTACAGGTCGACCAGGAGTCCCACAGCTAGATTTCGCAGCTGCACATGCTCAAAGTGGAAGCTGGAGCAGGGGGCGCCACCGAAAAAGGCCGAGAGGCGCGGGAGCAGGAACGCGAGGTAGCTGAGGCGGGGGACGCTGACGATGAACGGCGTCGCCGGGAATGAGGCGTGTGTTATGTGTAGAGGAATATGGGCGTGCCATAGGGCCGAGGTTATCGATGAGGACATCATGCATGGTTCGAGATGGACAGAGAAGAGGAAAAAGAGAGCTGCGTGAGATCGGTTCTCCTTCTCTCTCGAGATTGATGGCAGCACGGGGGGGGGGATGTATGATGGGAATATCAACATTCGGAGAGACGTCGTTGGAGCTGGGGTCAAGTCAAATGGTCGAGAGAGAGAGAGATTCGATCTGCTGACGCATATTATTATTCACACCCCTCATGTCCCTCAAAAATCACTCCTCTACTCCTTCACATAACTGAACCGAGATGCCTGAATTTAGACAGACAGTACAAAGAAAGGGTGGATATTCAAAGTGAATACTAATGAGGAGAAAAAGGAGAAAGAAAGAGAAAAAAAAATCAAAAAATCCGTCAATTCACAACGGACTTGATAACCCCACACCGGTACAGGAACCCAGGCTACCAAGCTATCACGAGAACCCCTCTACAGAACAGCAAAACAGCAGCACAGCACCAGATCAAATCAATCCGCTCACATCACCTCTCCCCACTCACATAGACACACGGTCTCTCCCTCCCCCCGTCCCAGCTGCAGTCGACATGTTGCAGCCAGACTCGGGAGTCGCGGCGAGAGCCGGTCACGCGTAGCTCCAGCGGTGCCAGCGACGGCGCCTCAACCCCGCCATCTCAGACCTGGCCACGCGTTTCTCCGTCCAGAAGAATCCGATGATGGCCGAGACGAGCCAGACGAGCGCCGATAGAAAGGTAAAGGCCACGACGGCCTTGAACTTGCCGCAAGGGTCTCCCCTCAGGGAGATGTTGTCCCAGTCGAAGGCGCCTCCGCAGGCACCCTGATCGAGTTGCTGTTTTTTTTTGGTGCGTGTGAGTGTCAGTCTCTCTCTCTCTCTCTCTCCTCTCTCTTCCAATCTAACCCCTGCAGAGTTGAAGGAAATCATAAAAACAATAGGGAAATTGGAGGGCAGGGAGGTCAGACGTACATCAACCAGGAGCCCAAAAGCAGCCCACCAGCAGAGACTTATGATCAGATCAGCATGCCAGTGCGTAAACGTCCAAGAGAGTGGTATGAGCCGCAGGATGGAAAGCAGGATGGACAGCCCCGCCACGACTTCGGTGTAGATGAAGCGTCCCATGCTCCAAGAATCTGCGCCGGCGTCTGTCCAGGCGTCGATGATATCACCGTTGACGCCGGCGACGACGGCTCCGAAGCCGATCTCGGCTATGCGGAGGATAATGCTGGCGATGCGCTCCATCTGTGATCGTACTAAGGGAAGTCGAGTGTTTAAAACGTTTGGATCTTTGATCGAAGGAATGGATGTTCTATATCTGCGTAGCTTGGATATACAAAATAGGGGTATATATATATATATATGTGTGTGTGTGTGTGTATAGTAAAAGAAGCTGTGTATAGTAAAAGAAACCAGATAGGATCTGACCTGACCTGACCTGACCTGGCCAGAGTGTTGGGCAGGAATCCATTATAACCTCATCCCTGTACTCTCCTATATTGACACACAAGAAGAAAGCAGAAAAAAGGAGAAAAAAAGAAAGAAAATAAAAAGGGAAACAAACATGCACCGGCAACACGGCCTATGAAGTTTCATACCACTACCACATCCACGGGAGTAACATGTAACCAGCACCAAACAGGTTTTCATACCCTTGGTCAAGGGGAAGGGTCGTTGGGCCTTTCCCTCCCCCCAGATCATAGTAGATGTAGTCATTCGCGGAGATAAAAGTGAATTGTATACATGGTACTACGGAGTAAAAGTACAGGAGGAGGACGGGAAAGTCCCCGTGGCTGGTGTTGATAATGCTGGATTGTATGAGGTCACGCCACCATTGTTCATGTCCACATGAAGTGCCACGTAGGGCGCGTCATCCACTCCATGTTTCTCTTTCATCTTCGCGACCAGGGTGTATCATCTGACACTCGCTACTGTCAGTACTGTTGTTGACATCAAGACTCAAGAAGAATCCGGGTGGTGCATGAATCTGCGGGGTGGACGGATCGGCGATTCGACAAGGGCACTTCGTCATGATTGATTGGGTGTCAAGTTGCCGTCGGCAGCGCCACTCCGTACATGCATGCGCAGCTCTCCGTACATGTGCATGGGACGCTGAAACCCATGTTACAGTCTGGCGGGTGTGCTTGACAGATTGGCGTGTCCTCGTCCGTAGACGATTTCCCAGTCCCTCCGGAGCAAGTCGGCAGGAACAGAGGAAGACGGAGTCTGTCGGACCTGGACCCCAAACTTGCTCTGGACAGAACGCGTAAACACGTCCCGGGAAATGCTATTCCCGTCGCGGCTGGCGTCCAGATCAAGCAACACGGCTATGAGGATCTGTGCCACGTCCCAGAGCACATCTCTCGCCTGGCCTGTCAGATCCGCCTGGCTGGTGGTGGTGATGCGGTCCCGCACAGCGCGCCACTCGCGGACCGGGTCCCAGGCACCCCTGGTGCTGTCATCATCGTGGGAGCCCTGGGATTGGCTCTGGGAAAATGAATGCGCATTCGTGATGATCTCCTCCAGGGCATCGAGAGAATCCTTCCCCGCTGCGGGGTGCTTCAGGGCCCGTACGAGATCCGTGCTGAGGACATCCGTGGTCCCTTCCCATATGGGGAGGACGGCGCAGTCCCTCCAGATGCGCGAGATGTTGAGGTATTCCTGATCAGAGTTGTCGAGGTAGCCGACTCCGCCGAGAGACTCCATGCAGCCGAAGACGATGGACAGTGCATTCCTGCACACGTACGCCTTCGTGATGGGCGTGAGCACCCGAAGGAGCGCCGCGGCCTGTCCTGCGTCGTCTGGCGTGAGCACGGATAAGGCGGTAGACGCAGATGCCGCCCATCTGTCGCCGACCGTGGCCTCGTGCCCCGCATCGGGATGCTCCGAGACCCCCAAGACGTGCGAGGTGAGGAAGGTGAGAAGCATGAGGCCTCGGTGCTCGACCACCATCCCGGACAGCGTGCGCATGTGCAGCGGGCTCTGGTCTAGCCGGGCCCTGCCGCGCCTCCCCGTGCCAATCTCACGAACCTGGGCAAATGCCTTTGCGATGTCGATCCCTCTCGAGGCGTAGCCGACGGCCGTGACGGCTGAGTGGATCCTCGTGATGCTTAGGATGGTGCTGATTTCGTGGATGCCACGGCCCTCCTCGCCGACCATCCAGGCCCTCATACCGTCGAGGACCAGCTCAGCCGTGGGGAGGGACCGAGTCCCCACCTTGTTCTTGAGACGCTGGATGCGGACACCGTTGAGACATGTGCCGTCGGCCTTCTCCAGCCCGGTGGCCGTCACCGCCTGGGGATCGGGTACGCGCATCGGCGCCATAAACGTGGAGAGGCGACCCTCGGCAGTTCGAGCCAGGAGCACCGTCATGTCGGAGTCGGTGGCCGAGGAGAACCACTTGAAGCCGCTGATGCTCCAGGGACCGAGGCCCGAGGTCTGGTCTGGCATGTGCCTGGCCGTGGTCTCGGTGAGCGAGACGTCGCTGCCCCCCGTCCTCTCCGTCATCCACTGCCCGCTAGTCCACGCCACCTCTGGGTCTCGAGACGTCAGGCGCCGGTAGGCGCTGTCGAAGGCTTCGCGCTGCTCGGGTGTAAGTCGCGATGCACGGCTGGGTGTGGTGAGATGGAGCTGGAGAAGACGGGCGGCCCCGTCCTGCATGGCCGATGGACAGGTGACGTTGGCGCAGGACGGCTCCCACAGATGCAGACGGAGGAACTGGAGAGAGCGTGCAGATCGACCAAGATCGGTGTCGTACCCCGTCGCGATGAAGCTTGGCACAGCCGTTAGGGACGTGGAGAACAGGGAGCAGGGAGAGATGAGACGGATGGCCTACCCCTTTTCGATGCCGAACTTTTGCAGCTCCCGCCAACCTTGTCCCGTGATGAGCTCTCCGGACCACTGCCCGAACGCCTGACGTCCCGAGCCCTTGAGGTACGGCTTGTTGAGCTCAGCATCGGTGATCCAGGCGAACACACGGTCGGAGATGACATCCCGGCCAAGAGAAGCCACCTCGCTTTCTACAGCAGACCGTACGTGGTCGGGAAGAAATACTGCTGCACGGTGAGATGGAGATGGGCCGGACCGGTACACGAGAGAGGTCCTACTTACGCGTGAAGCACCGTTGATACGTCTCATCATAGAAATGATTGTCGAGGACGGGTGGTTGCTGAAAGAAGCCCTTGTCTGCGCCAGAGGGTTCCATCATGTCGGTTGCCAGGATAAGACAGGACGAGGATGAGGAGAGGGAACGGTTGGGAAGCCAAGGAAAGACTCCATTCTCAGATGGCCCGATGGACATATAATACATGGGAGGTGTCAATATCACATCCTCCCCCCTCTTTCCCTATCATCCGAGGTCTACCGGTCCAAGTCTCATGGGGGAGGGGGGGAGGGGGCGGGGTCCGCTACGAGTAGGTGTAGGTGAGGAAGGTATTCCGCCCAGGATGATATTTCCGCTCATGACTCCATGACTTTCCACCAAGAGCAAGGAGCGCATCTCCGCAAATGCGGGGGAAAGAGTAGAGTACTAACAACGGGTTTTCTCATGAGGAAAGGCTTAAAAAAAAGAGGAGAGACCCGGGAATCCCGGGGGTGGGGGGACCAGGGATCTAGTAGATGTTGCGTTGTATCTGTCACGTAATTCGGTTGTGGAGGGCTCATACTTTTTCCGCCGTTGTACTGGTCGGGAAAAGCAGAGCTCGTCCCGTGCGGTGATTTGGCAGGGACGATGTCAGATCTGTCACGATGGACGTCAGGGTCGACACAAGAGCAAGACCGTGTAAGTGGAATGGCGAGGTTGTCAGTCAGGGAGAAGATATCAAGAGATGGTCGAATAACGCAACGCTCACGTGAGGACGAGCACCACAAACACTGCTGACTTACATGTAAAAGGTAGGTTAGGTGTTATGTGATGTCGAGGTACTTGTCTTTCTTCATTGCTGTGGTGTGCGACTCGACGGTTTGATGGTCGAGTCCCGCTTACCTAAGCTATGGGATGATATGCTATGACATCTGTAGTACAACAAGTTGATGCCTCCATAACCGAATTTCGTGACAGCAACGGTCCTGTGTCTGTGCACAGTACCCTCTGTGAGGACACATCTATGGTACAGGTGCTTATAGAATACCAGGTCCACGGCTGTTCTCGTATGGAGGGAGGACTGCTGTACACACCAGTCGGAATAGATTCCGCGGGCCATGCAGTCGCATCGATGCCAACACCATAGCGTCACATCGAATCGGACTATTATTCAAGTTGGCTGACGTATATAAGAGAGGGGAACTTTGTCCGGTCAGAATACTGATACATGTACATGTTGTACGTGTATGGGGATTAGGCTGTTGTTGGGTGAAGAAGCAGAGCGGTTATCCGGCGATTCATGCGTTTTCCCAGTTCCGTTGAAGGTTCGGAGTACTCCCTCCCCGCCTTTCCTTTTCCCCCCCTCCTTTTTTTCCCCCTCCTTCCTTCTCTTCCCGTATCCGAACAGTCCATGCTTGACAAGATAGACAAGCGTGGAGATATTTGAAAAGGAGGAGGAGGGAGAGAGTGGAAAGTATCAGATCCGACCATGAACCTCCCAGATCTGCATCTCTGACTACTGGGCGCTCACATCTCCTGCCCTGTCGTCCTCGGCCGGACCGAGCTCTTCGTCAAACTCGGTCACGATCCAGAGGCAGAACGCCTCCCACTCGACTTGCCATTGCCGCAACCTCTCAGCCTTGACGCCCTCGCCGGCGCTGGCCTCCCTGACGCCCTTTACCCAGGCACTCTGATCCTGGTCCTCGAACGACGCCCAGCGGACGCTGTTCTCGGCCAGGCTTCCGAGCCCGGCGAGCCCCAGGTTCTCCCACCCCTGTATGGCCTGCCAGAAGTCGTGGGACATGCCGGCCGTGTTCTGGCCCATCATGGCCGGGTCGTCGTTGCACAGGCAGCAGGGCACACCCCGGGCCAGCAGGGCGGGCAGGGGGTGCGCGAGGACGGAGCTGCACAGGCGCAGCACCTCGTTGGAGATGGGGCACGACTCGACGAGGATGCGCTTCTCCTTGACCATGTCGACGAGCAGCGGGTGCTTGTACAGGCTGTAGCCGTGGCCGATGCGCCGCGTGCCCAGGAGGATGGCGTCGAACAGGTTCTGGTCCGTGTCGGACCCGTCGCCCAGCGTCTCGCCCGCGTGGAAGAAGAAGGGCAGGTTCACGCCCTCCTGGGCGCACTGCTTGCGGAACCAGAAGAGTTCCGGGAGCAGGTCGACCAGCGGGCGTCCCAGGTCCTCGGCCCCCACGACGTCGTAGCCAGCCAGCAGGTGCGGGAAGGCCATCTTGGTGGCGATGCAGTGGTCCATGCTCTCGACCAGAGGCCGCGTGGACGAGCTGCGCAGGCTGGTCCAGATTGTCGTCAGACCCCAGAAGCCCTGTCCCTCGGGCGATTCCTTGAAGCGCGTGATCTCCTCGTCCAGCACCTCGAACATGTGCACGTAGTCCTTTTCCGGTGTCTCCTGTCTATCGCGGCAGTAATTAAGCGGCCACGTAAAGCTTTTGGTTGGTTTGCCGCGTCAGCACCGGCCCCTTCACTCGTCTCAAGCCGGTTCGTCCCCGTCCCGTCGTGAACATACCGTAGTTCGGCCCAGTTTACACCGTCATCCTTGAGCTGCCTCATCAGCCGTCTAAGAAAGGCACGGAACATGGGCTCGTAGTGGATGATGGACGCCACGACGACGAAGCACCTGGCAAACTTTTCCCAGATGGCATCTATCCCGAGATGGTGGTCGTGCGAATCCTCCACGTGCAGAGTGCACCTCCCCTTGAGCCAGGCCAGGAACCCTGCTCTCCCCCGAGGGAACCCGTCCGCCACGCTGGTGAGCAGCAGGAACCGTCCCGGCTCATATCCGCTCTGCCACATGCTGCCCTGCCCATCCGCCACCACTTCCCGCTCGCGATAGCGAAACTCGACCCTGGAATTCTCCATGGCCGTGGCGTCCACGAGAGGCCTGTCGCTGCGCATGTGCATGCCCGGCATGGACAGGAGCTGCTCCAGCAGGAAGTCGAACTCGACCATGGCGTCCATGTGGGCGTGCAGCAGGGCCCCCTTGGGCATGCGCCGCATGATGGTCCACAGCTTGGTACTCTCCATGCGCTCCTTTGCCAGGGGGAACATCATCCCGGGGAACACGGTGCTCCTGCCGGCCTTGTCGCCGTCGACCTGACCGCTGCCGGGCCGCCAGGTCGTCTCCATCTCGCGCGAGCGAATGGCGTCGACGATGGCGCATGCTCGCCGAGCAATGGGCGTCATGGACGCGCGGAACGCCGCATCCGACCGGGACGCCTTCTCCTGCTCGATGAGATTGGCTCGCCCGGCGAGGTATTTCTGAAGGAAAGGGTCTGATGTGGACGGTATGTCCTGGGACACTTCGTCCCATTCTTCCTGGGTGAGGGGCATGGCTTGATGTGCGGAGGTTGGAAAGGTCGAATTTCAGCCTGTGATCGATGACGCAGGCGTCAAAGTCGGGAGGTTGGATCTTGGATCTTGGTATTGTTCTCTCTTCTTCATGTATTTATTTCTCTATCTCTTCAATTCCTTCACCCTTCATCACCTTTAGACATTATGAGATGGAGGGGCTAAGATGATGCATATCGTGAATCGCGCGCGGGGCAGACATCCACCGGAGTTCGGGGTTCAAAGGGCTACGGTACAGTTCTAAAAGACAAAAGTACCCCCCCCCCCCCCCCCCCCCCGGTGCTCGTATGACCCTACTCTCTCACTGCCTCGCTCGATACATGTAATATGCACGAGGAATGTATGGAAATAAGAAATAAGGAGTAAAATGCAGATAGCTAGGATGATTTGCTACCTACCGACGCCCTGTATCAGATGGTACATCCAGAAACATATTCAACATACTCCAGCACCCCGCCTCAGTGACGTCGCACTCTCACCCGACAACGTCCCCTCCATTCACGCAACGGAAGACTCAGAACGCACAACAAGAACACCATAGATGGTGGGACGTCGCCGTGGCAAACCCAAAGACGACAGACTCTACCAAATGAAGCTAAGAGAGGCAAAAATAAAAGGAGAAAAAGTTCACGAGTCGGACCATTCCGAATTAGAGAAAGAAACAGAGCAAGGTTGTTTAGCCTCCCTCCCCTCTGCCCCCCGGGCGCCCTCCCTCTCTTTCTTTTGCAAAGGGAGCCAAGCCATCTAGCCACGTATTGACGGTGTCACTATATCGTCCAAAATGTTTCGCAGGACATGTCACCCTCGGCACCGACAACAGGGTAGTCTCCAGGTCCGGCAAACGCCGCCGGAGAAGCAGATGCCCTGATGGTGGCCTTGGACGCTGGCATTACCGTGGCCCGCGTGTACCGTGTGCACGAGTCCCCCGACAACAGGAAGGTCTACATCGAGATGGGGCATATCCTAGACACGCATCACTCGACAGGCTATGGCACGACATGACGGAGCGAACAGAAGCTAGACATGGCGTACCAGCTGCGCGGCATACTTCAGAAGATGAGGTCCGTCACCCCTGACTCCCTCCCTGCGACGGTCTCATCAGCGCCTGTGACGGCAAGGAAAATCCATGACGTGAGGTACATATCTATACATCACACTCCTCCCCCGCTTGCCGTGACGAGGCCGCATTCAATCAGTTTCTGCTCTGGTGGTAATATCCCACCGCGTCATCCCGCTATACGGGACGCATCCGCCCAGAGACTACGGACTGGTCACCACATTGTCCTCACACACTGCCGCCTCTCTCTTTTGCGATGTGATCGTCGGCGGTGGCGGTGGAGGCAGAAGGATCGTCGCCGTCGTAGGCTAGGGGAGGGAGAAGTCGTAGCTGACGTTCTGGCGGAGGGAGGTTGAGTTACATGTGTTGGCAGGTTGGGAGACGATCAGTCGCCAATGGACAGGACCTTGATACATAAGAAATATTCGTTCTTCACACCACGTGCATGGAATATTATACCTGCAGCGCGGCATCGTCCCTTGCCGCACCACTACCCTTCCTCCACCCATCCGTATGATCAACCGTGTTCTTCTCCAGGCTGTCCTCCCCAACTGGACCCCATCCTCCACCACCAGGCGTACACACGATGATACGATCGCCAGCCTTCATGGCAGCCGAGTTCTTGGCTCCAAGGTTGATATGCCTCTCCTCGTACTCATCTTCGCCCTCGTCCTCACGCTTGCTCTCACTCTCTGCAGCGGCAGCAGCAGCAGCACCACCACCACCACCACTACCACCACTCTGCAACTCCTTGAGCGACTTCTGCCAGTCAGCACGCTTGACCCGCCTCACCCACAGGTTCAGACCGCACTCGCCGTCCTCTCCGCCGTTGAGACCGTAGGGGCGGTACACGCGCCTCTCGCTGAGGATAGAGACCTGCAGGGGGATGCGGAACTCGATGTCGCGCACGACGCCGTCGCCGCCGCGATGCTGGCCGTTGCCGCCGGAGCCTTGGCGCAGGGAGAACTCGCGCAGGATAACGGGGTAGCGGCGCTCGAATATCTCTGAGTCGGTGATGCGCGTGTTGGTCATGTGTGTGTGTACGCCGCTAGTTCCTGCCCAGTACGGGCCGGCGCCGCTGCCTCCGGCAATGGTCTCGTAGTAGCCGAAGCCGCGGACCGTCTTCTGGCCGGCCTGGTTGCCACCGAAGCCAAACGTCAGGTTGTTGCAGCAGCCCTGGCTGGCGGCGCAGGCCTCGAAGGCCTTGAAGATGACGTCGGTGATGCGCTGGCTGGTGAGCACGTTTCCGCCCACGACGGCCGCGCCGGGCGAGGGGGAGAGGAGCGAACGCGGCGGGATCTTGACGTTGATCGGGCGCAGGCAGCCCTGGTTCAGCGGTATGTCCTCCGATATCAGGCAGCGGAGGCAGTAGATGATGGCGCTGAAGGTGATGGCCTGGGGCGCGTTGATGTTGCCGTAGACCTCGGGCCCCGTGCCGGCAAAGTCGAACTCGGCCTCGCCCTTCTCGGCGTCGATGCGGATCTTGAGCCTGATCGGGCTGCCGTCGTCCATGTGGTCGACGGCCGAGAGGTCCTTGCCCTCGAAGCGCTTGTACACGTCCTTGAGGAGGCGCCGCACGCACAGCTCCGCGTTCTTCTGGATGTTGACCATGTAGAACTGCACCGTCTCCTCGCCGTACTCCTCGATCAGCGTCTCGATCAGCGAGATGCCCTTCTGGTTGGCCGACACCTGAGCCCGCAGGTCGTTGATGTTGTCCGCCAGCGAACGAGACCCGCTGCAGCCCGGGTGCTTGGCCGGCTCGTCGTAGAAGAGCTCGACGACGCGCTTCTCGTCGAACTTGCCCCCGCTCACCAGCTTCTCGCTTGGGATCGACGCCCCCTCCTGGTACAGCTCACGGGAGTGCGGGGGCATGCTGCCGGCACTGATGCCGCCAATGTCGGCGTGGTGCGCACGCGAGGCGGCGTAGAAGAGAATCTTCTCGCCCTTGGCATCGAATGCCGGCATCAGGAGCGTCACGTCCGGCAGGTGAGTGCCGCCGTACGAAGGGTGATTGGAGATGATGACGTCTCCCTTCTGCAGCCTCCCCTTCCAGATCTCGGCCTGCTGGCGTACGCACGTCGACATGGACCCCAGGTGCACGGGGAGGTGCGGAGCGTTGGCCACGAGACCGCCGCTGGCGTCAAAGATGGCGCACGAGAAGTCAAGGCGCTCCTTGACATTTGTGCTGACGCTCGTCTTCTGCAGGGCGCGGCCCATCTGCTCGGCAATGGCCATGAACCGGTGGCCAAAGATGCTGAGCATGATGGGGTCGGCCTCGCGATCAACCACGTTTGTGTTGGTCCTGTTGAGCACAGTTAGCAAAAAAGAAGAAGAGAGAATGATGTGTATCGGCGCAAGTTGGAGGAGGTTCCTTACTCCTTGGCAGTCTCTTCCTCAATGTCAATAATGACATGCGTACCGGTAATAAGCGCATTAGACTTAGGAGGCACCACAATAGTCTGAGTGCCATCGGCAAGCATGGCAGGCCCGTTGACGACGTCGCCGATACTGAGACTCTCAAGCTTGAATACGGGGGTCTGACGCCTTCCACCATCAAAGTAGACCTCCTGGCTTCCGTGCTTCTTGTCCTCGGTCACAGCCTGCTTCCTGATCGACTGCAGCTGCTGGTCGACAGTCTGGTCCTTGTGACGGAAGCTCTTGCCGATACCGCGGATGCGCACGTCGTCGACAATCAGGTCCCGGTCGTCGAGGTTGAAGCCAAACTCGTAGCGGTGCTGCTTGACAAAGGCCTTACCAAACTCCCAGTCCTTTCCCCCGAAGCTCTCCTTGGACTCCTCCTCGGTCGGCTTGACAATCATGAGCGCCGACTCGGTGCCGCGGTAGCGAATGTTGAGGTACTCCTCAAAGACAATCTCGTCATTCTTGAAACCTTGCTCGTTGAGGGAAGCCCGGGACTTGTCCTTGAGCTTCTGCATCTTGGCCTGCAGCTCACCGACAACCTTGCCGTCACCCTCCCTCCAGACCGTAGACTCGGGCTCCTGCCTCTCGTCCACAACGTCTGCTAGGGCCATGCCGTAGGCGGACAGCACGGAAGAATAGCGGTGGACGAGGATTTGCCGGATCCCCAGAGACTCGGCAATAGCGACGGCATGCTGCCCGCCGGCGCCTCCAAATGTCGCCAGTCTGTGCTTAGACGTGTCGTGCCCCTTGGCCTCGGTGATGGACCGGATGGGACGGGTCATGGCCTCGTTGGCAACAGTTAGAAAGCCAAAGGCCACCTCGTCGGCCGTCATGTTCTTGCCCGTTTCCCTGTTGACCTGGTCGGCCAGCTCCTGGAGCACGACTCGGCTGGCCTCGGGGTCCAGGCCCTGGTCCTCGTTCTTGCCAAAGATCTTGGGGAAGAACTCGGGGAGAAGACGGCCGAGGTACAGGTTCGCATCTGTCACCGTAGCCGGACCCCCCTTGCGGTAGCAGGCCGGGCCCGGGTGAGCACCGGCCGACTCGGGACCGACGACGAACAGGCCGTTGCGGAAGAAGAGGCGGGAACCGCCACCGGCGGCGACCGTGTTGATGTCAAGCTGAGGGGACTGAATCGTCACACCGGCCGTCGTAGTCTCGAAGACGTGCTCATAGCGGCCCTCGCCGTATCGAGAGACGTCTGTGCTAGTACCTCCCTGCAAGACAGTATGTTAGCAGCCAATGTATGCATGCATCTTCCGAGTTGCGGGAAGGGGCAAGAGGAGATGAATTCTCACCATGTCGAATCCGATGACGGGGACCTTGGTGTTTTCGTCGTACGAAGTAATGGCATAGCCGACAACACCACCTGCCGGTCCCGACAGGATAGCCTTGAGGCCGGAGAACTTGTCGACGTCGACGAGGCCGCCGTCGCTCTGCATGAACTCGCACCTCGTGCCGCTGGCACCGTCCTCCTGCTGGACACTACGGGTTCCCAGGCCGCCAGCAAATCCCGATTGGAAGCCGTCAATGTACTTCTTGATAGCGGGGGTGAGGTAGGCATCGGCGCAGACGGACGTGGCTCGCGACACGAGCTTGATCATGGGCATGAGCTCGTGGCTCAGCGAGATGTGCTCGAAGCCGATCTCCCTGGCGACACGGCCAACGAGAGCCTCGTGATGCGGGAAGGTGTAGCCGTGCAGCAAGCAGACGGCGATGCTGCGGATGCCCTTGTCGTACACGTCCTGAAGCTTGGCGCGGACCTGATCCGACTGCGCCCTCCTTAGGATGCGTACGGTCTCACCTGAGAGACCACGGACGAGGTCCTTGCCCTCGGCGCCGGCGCCGTCGTCGACCTGGGTGACGGTCCTCTCCGGGTCCTCGGCGTAGTCCTCGAGGGTGACGCGCTCGTCAATCTCGACGACGTGCTCGTATAGGACGTCGGGCTTACGGATGGCCAGGTCAAAGATCTTGGGGCGGCTCTGGTTGCCGATGGTCAGACAGTCCTTGAAGCCCTCGGTGACGACGAGGGCAATCTTCTCGCCCTTGCGTTCCAGCAGGGCATTCGTGGCCACGGTGGTACCCATGCGGATCGAGTCGATCTTGGACGTCTGCAGGGGCTCACCACGCGGTATGTCCCGGCCCAGGAAGTGACTCATGATGCGCCTGATACCCTCAAGAGGGGCATCCTTGTAGTTGGCCGGGTCCTCGGACAGGAGCTTGATGATTATCTCCTCGCCATTGTACTCGCCCACACAATCGGTAAAGGTACCGCCTCTGTCAATGGCAATACGGACGCCCCGGACTTTGGGCGAGTCCGTCGTTGTTGCTGTTGATGCCGCCGCCATGGTGGGGTTTGTGAATATTGGTGGGGGGAGGGGTCGTTGTGAGGTGATGTGTATCACCGCGCTGGAAGGAACGAACGCTTCAAATCTATCATGTAGCCCCACACTCAAACAAGATTTTTATTTTTATTTTTTCGAGAAGACAAAAACAAAACAGGGTGGGAGGGTTCGGTGGGAAATATTGATTATAAGCAAACGAAGCAAATAAGATTCATCGTTGAAAAAGAGGATGAAGGTTCTATATAAGATATTCGGGAACTTGGGTGTTCGGTAGTTTTCGAGTTGCCGGTCGGGATGATCTAGGGTTTGCCGATCTGGGTGCGGAGGTCTAAAGCCGGGCAAGTCGGGGTAGAGGACGGCAAACAGCCGCCAGTTGCTTTACTGGTGCTCTATCTGACGGTACGTGCTTTGCAATTCTCCCATGTTCGCTCTAGATTGCAACATTCTCAGTCCACTCATAGGCGACGGTCGTGTTGAAGTCGGTCGTAGGCTATAACGCATTCGCGGCAAATAATCAATCGCCGCATCCAACTTGGAACATGTTGGTCGCATTATTGTGGAGTATATAGATTACATGTATTACTATTACTAGGTATTATTTGACATGGCTAATACTCCGTACATATATATATTATATACACTTGACAGGAAAAGTGACGCTGGGGAAAAATTAAAGAATGTGGCTCAGCTCTCCGTGGTAATGTGGTTGCATAGCAGTATGAGTTGTGAAAGGTACATAAGCTACAATCTGCAACCCAGTCAGCATCGATCCGCCTTCGTGGCGCTTAAAATCTCGAACAGCTCAAGTCGTCTAGGTGGTTAGGGCACCACGTTGTGGTTTATTTCATACCGGAACCGTGGAAACCTGAGTTCGAGTCTCAGCTTGGGCACATTTTCTTTTTGCATTTCTTTTTTTCCCCCGCACTTTGTGGACTCTTGCCATACCCTACAAATGAACAACTGTTTCCGCATCAACGCCCAAAGGCAAGACGAAAGAAGAAGAGGGAGGGGGGACTAAATGTAGATCAAACTGGTTCGGAATCAAAGTATTCTGCTGTTACGAGTAGGTTCATCGCCATATGATAATCGATAGTATCACGACGATATGCATTGCAAAATTGATGAACATGCATCGGTACCGAGCAAGAATAATTATCAAAGTTGTAAAAGGGCCAAACAACCTAAAAAAAAAAAAAAAGTAACACGTCAATGAGGCTTGAAGAATCAGTCATGTCGGCACCTAAAGAGTGACGTGGAGCAAATACACTCATGCCACGCCAACAAAGGGGAGATTTAATACTTCCGGTACGGGTCCGTCGTTCCGTCGTACGAGTATGTTAGGGGAAGATGTGATGTATCTCTTGCTGGGAGGGAACGGTGAAGGGGGTTGGCGACTGGAGTCACTAGAGTGCTAATACGGAGTAATGATACATAAACGTGGTGATGATGATAGTTTCCGGCTGACGACGATTGCCAAGATATCGAGGAAGAGGGAACGTGGACCATGGTAATCTGTAGAATGACTTGGTAATACATGATAATCCTTACTGCTTCAAAACTTGTAGTAGTATTTTATTACTTGTAGCAAATATTTCATTACCTGTAGTATCATTACTTACAAAGACCCCGGTAGGTCTATGATGAACAGGTATGTATACTCGGTATATGTTATATGTAGAATAAAGTACACGTATTCCATGCTTACTATTAGTATTATGAGTAGTAATAATCAATACCACCCTGACTATTTATTAGTGGGCGTGGTAGAGAGAGGTAAGGTTCTTTGAAGAAGATGGACGTGCGGATGCGGACATGCGTCAGCGCCACACACGGTACTCCCTCCATCTCCATCGTCCTCCCCCCAGCCCAGCCTTTTCCCGATCGGATGAGGGGGTGGTAAAGACTGCCTCTTGTCTGGCGGCGGCAACACAAAGGCACACACAAACTTATCGCATTGGTACAGTGCAGTGCAGCGCGTGTGCTAAGTCACGGCGTCTAGATCCCATCAGTAATGATTGCCCATGTATGTACATTGCATACGCTCATTTGACTTTTATTTATTTTATTTTATTTTATTTATTTTTTTCTTTTGACTTTTCTTCTTCTTTTCTTCTTCAGATTTACTCTGATACTCGGGTCAGAGATAGGGATCGGCTCAGGACACAAGCCATGCGTTTTTCCCTTTTCCAACCATTGACGCGAGGTGGCTCATATAGTGCCAATCTGGGTATATCATCAGCACAAGATCCTAGTCGAATGGTGACACCGTCGTGCCGTTATTATCTCATGTCTACGTCTTCCATCCCCGCGCGGAAAAGAAGTCGGCCTATGGCATGAAAATATCTAGCAAGATCGAGGGGACGGGTGTAGATAGACATCGTGCTCACGTGCGGGACCACCAAGACACACACGCATTCATTCCGAATGCATCATGTTCTCATATCCGCCTGTGTCCTTCCCCCCCCCCTCCGCCGACGTTGGAAAAAAAAAGTGCGACGGAGGGGATGATATACTGATTTCTGCCCGAAGGATAGGGACAGACGGGAGAGAACTGCACAGCACCAATGGACATAATGGCCCGGTGGTGGGGGTGATCCCGTAGACGGTTGGTTGCATTTGCTTGGTAAGATCGACAGCGGAAAAGTCGTGGTGTGTTCATAATTCTCTCCCCCCCCCCTTCCTCCTTCCTCCCCAGTTTGGTCGGGGAGAGCCGTTCCGTTTGTTTGTCACTATACGAGAGACAGAGACAGAGAGGCAGAGACAACACTCGTAGCTGAACTGATGGTCGGCTGAGGGAGGAGGGAGGAGGGAGGGGGGGAGGGGGGGGGGGGGGGGGGGGGGGGGGGGGGGGGGGGGGGGGGGGGGGGGGGGGGGGGGGGGGGGGGGGGGGGGTGAGATGAGAGAGCAGAGAGAGAGAGGATTGCGAAGCGATGGACCGACAGCGCGGGATGAGCGACGTCACCGCCTTGATTCTCACACCCCTCCTCCTCCCAAACGCCTTTGGACCGCTTTTGGACCGCTTTTGGACCAAGTTCCATATCCCGGCAGAAATGAGAAACGAGAGACGAGGAGGGCCAAATGTACGGTACCACCATCCCTACTACTCATACCGTCACAATCGTATTACTAGAAAGTCGCAAAGCATATACGTATTCGATGTCATCTACATTGTGCAGTATGGAACAGAAGAACGATGACTACCATGACCACACTAAGGAGATAAGAGTCCACTGTGGCTTGGATGATCCAGCTGAATTCGAGGGTTTTCCAAATAACGAAGAAAAGAAGACTCCTATCGACTCGTCGGATTGGCAATTGGCCCGGAAAAGTGTTGCTCAGTTTTAGATTACCTAATCTGGACGGACGAGCCGAGAAGGCGCGGGAATGGCTCTGATTGTGGCGAGGCTGAATTTTTTGTTCTTTTCAAAAAATATAAAATAAAATAAAAATCATCATTACACGTTCTGCCATGTCAGTAATACATGTACTCACTCGTTAGTAAGATGGGGTAGAAGGCGGCGGACGGCGGCAATACCGACTTTAGGGGGTTTTTTTTCCCCTACTCGTGATACTCGTACTTACTAATACTAGTGCTTCCGTATTGCGCTCGTAATATTTCCACGAGATTCCGCAGAGGCCGAGAAGTGGCCAAAAAGTCACTCCACTGGCGTCCCGACGTCCGTGGGGGGGGAGGATGTACTCATCGCGTGGGTATCCGTCGTGCTCTTGTACTAAGAGACTAATACCGTACTGCCGTAATGCTACTTTGGTAACCATTATTTTGCTTACCGTGATATTACCCTCTATTATCCTCAACTTTGAACTTTGACTCGTTACGTTACGACATGTATAACAAGTGATTGCACGGAGTTGTATTACGTGGTAAAACACACAGAACAACATACAGAGTTGATGATTTCCCCAACTAGACGCACATGTATTGGGGCGCCATCGGCTGTTGTTAGTGTTGTTGTTGATGTTGATGTTGTTGTTGATGTTGAGTGGGGTGTGTACATGCTGTACATATATATATTACTTGTACATGTATACTCGTACAATTCTGTATCTGTAATACCGTACGAGGTATCATCGTCGTATATGGACAAGGGTTAGAGGGGACCGGGGGGGGGGGGGGGGCGCGGAGAGTAGAAATAAAAGGGAGAATAAAAAAAAAATAAGAAATATATATATATATAAAAGGGGGGCGTGTGAAAGTCGAAGCGCTTTTGCGTCTAGCTGTACGGATGCCCCGTACTTTGGCTCCATCGCTTTGCTGCTATGGTGGTGGTGGTGGCCAGGGTCCTGATTCAAGACATGTCACTCCAAACCCGCCCGCCCATTATGTTATAAGGGGACCGGCTGACGCACCCTCCGCTGCCGCCTTTTCGGCCTCCTCTCTTCCTTTTTTTTTCTTCCTTGCTCTTTACTTACCCCTTCAACGTATGACGAACGGATTTCAACTCTTCCTTCCCTAATTTATAAATACGACGAGATAATTCTTGGCTCTCGAAGACGTATCCCTTTGAACTCTTTTTCTTGTTTCGAAATTACTCGACACCTTTCTCCATCTCCCCCACCGCCTTATCTCACGGGAGAGACGACATAGACCTCCGACCTCGGCTGCAAATCACACACACACACACACAATCAAAGTCACAACGACAACAGACGCAACCATGGCTGGAAAGAGACTCCGTTGCTCCGCCAAGGAGTGCAGGGAACCTGCTCAGCGCATCGTCGGCGACTGCGGCTTCTGCCAGGGTCACTTTTGCGGAAAGCACCGCCTCTTGGAAGACCACAAGTGCAGCGGTCTCGAGGATGTACGTCTTTTCCCTTCCCCTCCCTTCCTGACTTGATATTATCACCCTATAGAGAGAGAAGCACGGAGCTGACGAGATTGTGCCGACACCGCAGTGCAAGAAGCAATCTCATGAGCGCAACGCCGCCCAGCTCGAGTCTGAGCGAACCCAGGTCATCCGTGGCGTATAGTCGCTCTCCCTCCCTCCCTCCCTCCCTCCCTCTATACCAAAAGGGACCCTCCCCTCGCTTGGGAGGAGGGAAGTGCGACTCTTGTTCCTGTCTCGTCCAGCTCGACCGTTCACGACATGATGCAAAATGCTGCAAATACCACAGATGCCCACGACCGTCTGCGCCCGCCCGTCAGACACTCTTTTTTCTTCCTCCTTGGTTTGACAGCTTCACCTTGGTCTACCAGCCGGGAAGATATGGGTCAGCTCAACCGTGAATTGCAGTCTTTTGGTCGTACGGCATGTCGTGTGCTCCCCCCCCCCCCCCCCCCCCCCCCCCCCCCCCCCCCCCCCGAAGTCGTGCCATTGCCCACATAGAGTCCACTCTTAAATGAGACATCGCTCATATGAGCATTTTAGACCCCATGGTTCGNCCCCCCCCCCCCCCCCGAAGTCGTGCCATTGCCCACATAGAGTCCACTCTTAAATGAGACATCGCTCATATGAGCATTTTAGACCCCATGGTTCGTTCTCGCACACCGACTCATACTCATACAAGCAAGGTGGTGGACGTTGAACCCTGAGTCACGGTCCAATCCCCCGCGGCAAGTTGTATTCCTTCTTTTTTCTTCTATACAAATTTCTCTCTCTCTTCAATTCCCATGCGCGCGCGTGTGCGCTAGGACCGATGCGCCTATGTATTATTATATTGTCATACATGGTTATTACTGTATCGGGATGTGATGTGATGGGTTCCCATCATTCCGGTTCGGACTTGATGACTCTTCCCTCTTCCTCCTCTTTCTTGCCGGGGAGTACACTAGAACTAGCATCATCATCTCCACCACTACTGCTCCTCCTTCTCCTCGTCCACCTCGTCCTCCCCTCATTCACCTTCTTCCTGTCGGCAGCCCTGCACATGCCTCTCAGACCGAGCTCGCAGTCGCCACACTTGGACCCCTGAGGCAGGCAGACGCTCTGGCCCAGCCCGACGAGCAGGCCGTTGATCTCCCTCCACCGATCGTGCGGCAGCCACGACTGCAGAGACAGCCGCGTCTCCTCCGGCGTCCTCGTCTTGTTCCACCCCCACAGGTTGGTGATGCGGTGCACGTGAACGTCGACGCCTATGCCCTCCGTCCTGTCCCACGCGTGCGACATGCACAGGTATGCCATCTTTGGTCCCACACCTGGCAGGGACATCATCCCTTCTATGCTGTCGGGTATGTCGCCTTTCCATTCGTCTCGGAGGATCTCGGCCGTTCTTTTGATATATCTGTACACGCACATACATTGTCAACTTTTTTTTTCCTTGTTCCCCCCCTGTGTATGTTGGAGATGTATAAAGAATAAGAAGAAGAAGAAGAAGAAAAAGAAGAAATTGGGGGAGGGGGGGTAAAAGAAAACCCACTTGGTCTTGTTATTGTGAAATCCAACTGCCCAGATCATATGATTGAGCACGTCCGGCTCCACGGCAAGCACATTCTCCAGATTCAACCCTGGCGGTGCGCCCTCCTCGCAAGCCGGCAGCTCGCTCTTCAGCCGCGCCATGACCACGGCATTGACCGTGTCCTTTGTCTGGCTGGACAGCATCAGCGCGATGAGCGTGTGGAACCGCTGGTCGCGCGGGGACGCCGTCCGGTCCGCCAGCCTCTCGCATCCCATCGTGTCCACTGCTGCGCCGTACGCCGCGCCCCCGGGCTGTCGCATCTCCCTGACTACCTGGTACGTCGACTCCCAGTCCGAGGGGGGTTCCGTCGTCGCATCGCCAGTCTTGGGGTCCACAACTTTGCGCGCCGGTTTTCTCGACTTCCTCTTATTCTTCTTCTTCCTCCCCATCGAATCTTCTCCCTCTTCTTCCTCCTCTTCTTTTCCTTCTCCTTCTTCCTCTTCCTCTTCTTCCTCCTTCATCCTCCTCGCCTCATCCCCCTTTATCGTTGTGGTAGGTGACGACGCCACGCGTCTCCGTTTCCTGACAGGTATAGCCTTCGTCGTATCCGTGATCGCGTCTTCAATGTCGGGTGTCGTCGTCGTAGTCTCGGTACCGTTCCGAGTGGCCGCTGTCGTGTGAGCGAAGCGCGCTGCCAGAGATGAAGACCGCGTCGTCCGTCGCGGAGGCGACACCGGCCCAGACACTCGCTCAAACAGCTTGGCTGTGTCTTGGGATATTCTCGAGGACCGCATGATTGCGTACTTCACGCTTCCCATCGAGATTGGAGGGAGTGATGAGGAAAACACCTTCTCTCTTTCCCCCCCGCCCTTGCTTGATGAGATTGAATGGCCAAGTCCGCGCCCAGCTCTTTGCTTCGCGGTCGAGAACCCGAGGACCCTGCATCGCGAGTGGGCCTATTACGCACCTGAATGGGACGGCGTTTGATTGGGCAGCGTCAAGACACGCCATTTTGTGTACTCCTATTCACTCGTATTACTATCCCACAGCTGCAACGACATGGAGAGCTGCCATTGTCAATCAAATAGGGGATTTTCCCCCTCCTTATTGGATTCAGCTCACTGGGATCCAAGAAGAATTCTTACGCCTAGTGTGTATCCAATCTGTAACTGTGACAAGTTATGTCGTCTCCAAGGTTCACGACAAACTTCACGGATATCCTCAGGCGAGATGCCGATACAGAGATGTAGGTGGAAGCAATGCTTCGGCATTACGAAAGCTCACCGAGGCAATCCTCGCGACCTGACGCATGCTATTATTACATATTACCTCTACTACTATTGGCATACTAGACCCTTCAGGTCTACAAGTAATACTCCGCACATTAGCAGCGGAAAAAACGTCACAGATGGGCCATCAGGGTTCACGGCGGGGATCAAGTAAAGCAGTATAAAGAACCAGCCCATCCGTGCGAATGCTTTCCTTTAATTTCATTTAATTTCGTCTGCATACATATCTCATGGCTACACTTGTGGGGGGGGGGGGGATCAAAGAACAAACTGTCCATTGTGCAGTTTTGTTTCTCCCTTCCATTATCTCATTTCAACGATTTTTTGTTCATTTCTTTTTCTTTTTTTTCTTGATTTCAATTACAGCTGGCGCATATCGACAACAGCGCGGATGCAGTCACCAGCCTTCATAGTCTCGAAAGCGTTGTTCATGGCGCCGAGAGTCTTACGATGGGTGATGAACTCGTCAACCTTGAGGGAGCCATTCAGGTAGTCGGTGACGAGACCGGGGAGCTGGGTGCGACCCTTGATACCACCAAAGGCGCAACCCTTCCACACACGGCCGGTAACAAGCTGGAATGCTGTATTGAGAGATACATGGTCAGTATTTGCGCGGAATTTCGAGGAAAGGGGAGGGAGAGGGGAATAAGACATACGGCGAGTGGAAATCTCCTGGCCAGCGGCAGCTACACCGATGATGATGCTCTGACCCCAACCCTTGTGGCAGGCCTCGAGAGCGGCACGCATGACGTTGACATTACCCGTGCAGTCAAAGGTGTAGTCGCAGCCACCGTCGGTCATCTCGATGAGCTTCTCCTGGATGCTCTGGCCCTTGAGCTCTGTGGGGTTGACAAAGTCGGTGGCGCCGAACTTCCTGGCCCACTCCTCCTTGGCCGGGTTGACGTCGACAATGATGATGCGGCTGGCCTTGTTGACGACGGCACCCTGGACGACGGACAGGCCGACGCAGCCGGCGCCGAAGACGGCGATCTGCGAGCCCTCCTCGACGTTGGCGGTCACGCGGGCGGCTCCGTAACCCGTGGTGATGCCGCAGCCCAGCAGGCATGTCCTGTCCATGGGAGCATCCTGCTGGACGGCCACGACCGAGATGTCGGCCAGGACGGTGTACTGCGAGAAGGTGGAGGTGCCCATGAAATGGAGCAGGTCCTTTCCCTTGCACTTGAAGCGGCTGGTGCCGTCGGGCATGACGCCCTTGCCCTGGGTGGCGCGGATCTTGCCGCACAGGTTGGTCTTGCCCGACTTGCAGAACTTGCACTCCTTGCACTCGGGGGTGCTGTGTTCTGGTTAGCCTCGGGAGTCAAGAGAAGCAAGATGAAGGCAAAACACCGCGAGAAAGGGAGACCAGGGGTGGAACATACTAGAGAGCGACGACGTGGTCACCGGGCTTCACGTTGGTGACGCCCTCGCCGACGGACTCGACGATACCAGCGCCCTCGTGTCCCAGGACGATGGGGAAGGCACCCTCCGGGTCCTTTCCGGACAGAGTGTAGGCATCTCGACTCGAATGTTAGCAAGGGGATGGATCTAGCAGGCAATCATGCGATGGAAAAGGCGTACCTGTGTGGCAGACGCCCGTGTAGTAGATCTCGACGCGAACCTCATGGGCCTTGGGAGGCGCCACCTCAATCTCCTCAATGCTCAGTTCCTTGCCGGCTTCCCAGGCGACGGCGGCCTTGCAGGTGATGGTCTAGACGAGCGAAGGAGAGCCAGTCAGTAGAATAACAAAAAAGGATGCCGAGGAGATTGTAGAGACCGCTGTCCACGAGGGAGAAAGTCGCATCCACACGCGTTACGTGTCTTGCGCTCGGGTTCTGGCCCCGGGTGAGGAGGGGCAAAGGAGGGGTGGGAGGGATGAGGGGCAGAAAAGCTTACCTTGCCTACGGTAGAAGCCATGGTCTTCTTTTCTTTATTCTTCGAACAGGAAAGGGAAAGAGTGATGGGATGTCGAGGTGGGTTCGGAGAATTATGAGAGAGCGATGAAGTCCTTCACGGAGAGGAAGAAACAAAAAAGGGAAAAAGGGCAGAGGCGGGGGAGGAGAAGAGTTGAAACTAATAGTCTTATAGAGCTTTGAAGAACTAGGTCAGGTCGGGGGGCTCGAAAAGAAGGCGTTAATTGTGACGACACACTCTCCGATCGCCGAACGACTCCGAGAAGGTTCCTTTTTGGGGGGTGTGCACTTGCCCGCCCTCTCCCCCCCCCCCCCCCCCCCCCTCCTTAGGTCGTTAGGTAGACGGAGAGAGGCTCCATCATTCAAGTCGTATAGCTCTTATGGCTGGCTCTCCCTCTATGATTACCCCGCCGGACATTGAGACCCCCGCTGCGGTTTACGGAAGCAATAGAAGAGGATAAGATTACCGGCCATGGCTTGGAGCCGCTTGACCCAATAGATGACATACGATGGTAAACATTACCCAGTTATCTCGTGACCGGAACTGAGTTGAAGATGCCGTACGTTGGAATTAACGTTGCTTTTGTTGTTGTTGTTGTTGTATATATATGATACTCTACTGCTCGTGCTTACGATTAGAGCGAAAAGGGTCGCCGTGGAGCGGAGACTACACTCTATATCATCATCGTAATTCCTTTCGCCTGCAAGCTCTTTACGGCAGTTGACTCACACAGATCTCTCAGAGATAATTCAATCCGAACTCTTTCGTCTCATGCACGATTATTATTACGTCTTGATCAATCTGCCTTATCAATGCCTAAATTTCTCCGTGAACATTTCCCGTATCCACAGGCCACAGCCACCTTCTTGCCTGGCTAGCGTTTTTGATTCGGAGAGATGTCGGGTTGTCATGGCGAGAAGGGCCGCGTGCTTCACAACCACGGATAATAGCCGTGATTGTTCGGCTGCTCCGTTGGGATATGTAAGCGGAGGTCCCCCCGTCAACGCATTGTGACAAGCTCCGTTTTCGCTGTTTCTTGGAATGAACTGCTTCGGTAACCGGCCAAGTGTATCCGGGCACTTTTCTTTTTCTCCTGATTTCTATATATCATCACATTTGGGTTATTGTTGCTGCTCGTCAATGTGAGCTTGTTCGCCACTTGCCGGTATGCACGATGATGTACCTTTATTTTCGGCTACAGGGTAACCACGGGTTAACTTCGGACCAACTTTTTTTCTTTTTGTGCAGCAGTAGCATTGTTTAGATGTGCAAAACATCGTGAGGTACGAGCTGTTTTGCGCCACAGTGCGCGTGCACATAATTCTCTCCCCCAGCTTGAAAGAAAATTATACACCAAAATACGCGTCACATTTGTTTCCCAGCCAAGTGCACCTGCATAAAAATTCCAGTCACCTCCTTGCAATACCTTTGGTCCGCCCCCCCCCCCACACTGTGTGACGCTTTTTCAGAACTGGTCCTCTTTTTATTGGGAGCATTTTTCTGGACTGGCCAGCAGGGACCTTGACCAATCTGGCCGCCGCGTTTGTCTTTATTTCCCTATTCGCCAGCCAGGCCATTGCGCGCCACAACAACAACATCGTCGGTAGGAGAAGAAGAGAAAGAGACCAAGACGACGACGAAGTCGCAACATCACCACTCGACTGGACCCACCCGCCTACGCCGCCCAGAATGGCGCACAGGTTCATCGTCCCTGACTCGAGCCCCCCGGGCAGCCCTGATCCCAGCAGCCTCTCGACCCCCGAGAAGACGCCCCAGATCCGTGGCCTGCCCCCCATGTTCGGCGAGCATCCCTCGACCACGCCCGCCGGTCCTCCGCCAGCTCCCCCCTCGCCAGCGCCCTCGTTCACACCCGCTGGCGCTCCCTCCGACTCGTACCTGGGCAGCTCCATCATGCGCGGTGTCACGGGGCCCCGGCAGCCCAGTTTTGGCTTCTCCACCGACAGCCCGGGCAGGAACCTCTTTGGTGGTGGTGGCCGCTTTGAATCGCCTGCCAATGCGCCTCTCGGACGGTCGATTCGCGGCGGTGCGAGCCATAGGCAGCCCTCCGGCCTGAGCAGACAGTTCAGCATGAGTGACGTGGCCCGGGAGCAGGGCGAGGAGGAGCTCGACGAGGACGCCGAGGGTGAGGAAGACGATCTATTCTCTGCCGCGCCCCCCGGCGGCCTCTTCCGCCCGTCACTGGGTCCTGGCCAGCTTGGTGGCCCTCCCGACGAGACCGATAATCAGATTGGCCGTCTGCTCGAAAAGGATATTGGATTTGGAGGCTTTGGTGATGGAGACGTTGAGGGAGATGAAGAGGATGATGATGAGGAGGAAGAAGAAGAAGAGGAGGAGGAGGAGGAAGACGACGGGCAAGACGGCAACACACCACGACACGACACATACAAGGGCGACGGCAACATGAATGACGGGTCTGATGGGCAGAGCGAGGACGATGCAGACATGTTCCTCAACATGCGCCACGACGACAGGCAATACGGACAACCGGCCCTCGGCGAGGAGGAGGATCTCATGATGCTGCACGCCCCGGCTGCCACCAACAAGGTCCGCAAGGAGGCCGAGGCCTTGCTGCGCCGGTCTTCTGCCCACCAGGGCCTGACCGCCAGGCAAAAGGGCTTCGAGTACGCTTCCATCGCCAAGGACATGTATAGCCATACCGAGGTGGCCCATCTGACGGAGCCCGCCAACATCATACTCAAGACCGAGGCGCTCGTCTGCCGACTGTACGACGAGGGCGTCGGGACCGAGGACGACGAAGAGAAGATGGACAACTCGCTGGCCAGCATCACCTTCCAGCTGGTCAAGCTCTGGACGAACCACGTGAGGTCTCTCGACCGACCGCGGGAGGAGGACATGGCCAACGTGGGCCCCGGCGTCGACGCCGACCCCTTCGAGAAGGCCGCCTACGTCGCACATCTTCTCCTCCGCTTACACCACACACGATACGAGGACGAGCCCGACGGAAGCAAGGTGCAGCCTCTTCCTGGAGTCCTGCTCAACTGGCTGCGGGACAGCGGCTACAACCCTTACCTGGACCAGGTGGGGGACGTCATCCGCCACCAGCCCAGTCCTGCCTGCCACAGCCTCTTCTGGCAGACGGTGCAGAACAGCCTGCTGCGGGGCGATGTGGAGGCGGCTACGCAGCTGCTGAGGAATGCCGGCTGGGAGCACGTACGCCGGGGCCCGAGCCGCGAGAAGGCATACGTGGGTCAGTCGCTGGAGAACGTGCAGCGGTTCGCGGCGGCCACATGCGAGACGCTCGAGCAGTGCCCCTCGCAGAGCGATGACTGGGACATCTTCAACAGCAGCTGGACGCTGTTCCGTATCCAGGCGCGCGGAACCCTGGACCGGATGATGCTGTTCGCCGAGGGCAGGGACCAGACGTTCCAGGACCCGATGAGCGGCGGCTACATGGCGGAGCAGCAGCAGCAGCAGCAGCAGCAGCAGCAGTCCATGTCGACCATGGCGCGCAAGGCGTCGTCCCAGCTCCCCTGGGACGTCTACGAGAACCTCCAGAACATCTACGGGATCCTTCTGGGCGACAGCGAGGCCATTGTGGGTACGGCGCAGGACTGGTGCGAGGCGACGATCGGTATGTTCTGCTGGTGGGACGACGGCAGCCCGCGCAGTAGTAACAAGGCGCTGCGGCTGACGCAGTCGCACAGCCTGCTCGGGTCGACGTCAGCCTCGCGCAGTAACGACGAGTACCTGGAGCGCCTGACCAATTCGTTCCACATGGTGCTCCAGTCGGACCTGAGCCCCAACGCCCTGAACCCCGTCGAGGTGGCTGTCGCGTCCGTCTTCGAGGCCAACGTCGAGGGCGTCATCGGCCTCCTGCGCACGTGGTCGCTGCCGGTGGCCTGCTCCGTGGCAGAGGTGGCATCCCTGGGCCAGTGGCTCCCCCCCCCCGAGCCGTCGGCGGCGCGCGACCTCCAGCCGTTCGACTCGCTCGACATGGATGACCTGGCCGTGCTCAACATCACGCAGCCCGGGTCGGACGAGCTGCTGGGCATGAAGGACGACACGCTCGAGAGGTACGCCCGCGAGCTGGCGGGCATCGAGCAGCTGTCGCCGCAGCGAGAGGGCTGGGAGATGGCCATCGAGGTCCTGGGCCGCATGGACAGGCCCGAGAAGTCGGAGGAGATCGTCGGCGAGCTGCTCAAGGACATGCTCGACAGGCTGGACGAGAACTCGGCCGAGACGGTGGACAAGATGTGGAGGATCCTGAACGACCTCGGCATGATAGCTTTCGCCGAAGAGACGGCAGAGGTGAGTCTCCCCACCCAGCACTCTCTTTTCCTACACCGTCGGCTGCAAGGTGCAGAGGATGGAGGGGGGGGGGGGAAGAGAAGACGGGGAGAGAGACGGAAGATGAAGTCCCGGATGCTAACCAAGATGGCAGACATTCGCCGACACCCTCTCCAACGAATCACACAGGTACGGCGAGGCACTGTGGTACTATGCGCTGTCGCACCGGACGGACAAGGTGCGCGAGGTTCTCAACCTGCTCATCTCGTACTCGCTGGTGCAGTCGACGGCCTATCCGGCCGACCGGGAGCTGGACGGTGAGCTCCGCAACCTGCTGGAGCGACGGTCGCAGACGCTGGAGCGCCGGGCCAAGCAGGACCTCGAGGCCGCGCAGCTCCTGGGCCGCATGCTGAGCGGGTACGCGACGCTGCGCAAGTTCTACCAGCTCCGCGACGAGCTCAAGGCCGACGGCAACGACGGCAGGAACGTGGCTCCCGTCAAAGCCTCCAAGCTCCGCAAGCAGGCGGCTCTGGCCCTCGTGGCCGTCATCTCGAGCGCGGACGACAACATCCGCGGCGGCCTGTACGACGAGGCGCGCGACGCCGTGGTGAGCGAGGATTTCCTGCTGGCTCTGCTGGGGGAGGCCACAGTCTTCGTCAGCAGCCACCACCAGAAGTCGACGTCGCCGGCCCTGACCCTCGACCAGATGGACATCGTCCTCAAGGCAATCGAGGACCTGCAGACGGTCGGATCGCGCGTCTACTCTGCCAGCGAGGACTTCTTCAACCTCGTTCTCTCGTCGGCCCAGGGGCTCAAGGGATCGACGCCCGCAGACCTGATGACGAAGTCTACAAGCTCCCTCAGCGGGAGCAGCTACGCCATGATGAGCGGGACTTCCATGCTGGCCAGCCACATGCTGAAGTCTACCATGGGCGGCAGCGCCGGCGGCAGCAAGGTACAGAGGGGATGGGACTGGAGGAAGGCGTTTACCGCGAGCACAACGGCTGATGATGTCCTGAGAAGACTGCGTCTCGGACTGGCCAAGGATCTGGCGGGGCTGTGGCTCGAGGATGCAGATGGCGTTGCTGTGTATTGATCTCTCCCTCTCTTCTTCTCTTCTTCTCTTTTTATTCCCCGTACTTTTTCTCTTCTCCTCTATAAGTCTTTGCTCTATTACTAGACCGGCGAGTCAGAAGAAGGAAAAGAAGAAAAAGATGAAGGATGCTTGTTGGCGGTTGGAGGAGATGGAGGATAGATACACACACACACACACACACACACACACACACACAAACATACACATACATGGGTTTGTGGTATTCTGTAATCATATGAAGAGCTCCATGATCTCTCTCGTCTCTACAATTGATTGATCGTCACTATGAAGGGAAGGGGAAAAACGCAGGGATGGTGAGAAGGGAGAGAAGAGTAAAGAATATAAGAATCTTCTGAAATAGATAAAAACATACCCCGTAACGACGAAAACCGATGGCGTAATAATATAATACATACAAACTGACCCTACATCCCCTATCCCTGTATTTTAGTTGACCTGACCCCTCTACGGAGTACGGATAGGCAGGGTCGGTTATTAGTCAGAGCACTCAGACGGATGAGGTACCGATCATGTCGTGACCGCCCCGCAGAGGAGCCAATCCAAAGTGGTCAATTGCCAAGCGGCAGAAAAAGAAAAAAAGAAAGAAAAAAACGGCAGAAAAATTTCCCCTTAGTGGATGACACAGAAAAATCTTGCCGACAACGCAGCAATTGATGGTGATCCGTCCTCTTTCTCTTCCCTCCTTCTCCATACCTTTCTCTCTACCTGCACAAGGCGTCACTTAGGCACCATGGCACAACTCCATGCTGCTGGGCGCTCTGGCGGTGCCATGGCGGTGATTATCTCCATTCTCCATGCACTTTTTTATTTTATTTCTCCCGCTTCTTGCCATGTGCAATTACTAATGGGACTGATTCCATATATAGCGTGCATTGCGTAATGGCGCCGGCCTCGGAGGTCAACAACAACAACAACAACAACAACAACTACGACGACGACTGCTGGGAGGAACAGCGAGCATGAGACGAGCCTTTTCAACGGTGCAGTCGTCGTCGCTGCCGCCCCGGTACGAGAAGCTCTTCAACAAGTACACCGAGGTGCGACGAGTCCTCGGGCCGCAGCGGCGGCTGACGCTGGCCGAGAAGATCCTGTACAGCCACCTGGACAACGTGGAGGAGTCGCTCCTGAGCGGGACCGACAACGGGCGCAGCATCCGCGGCCAGGCAAACCTGCGGCTCAAGCCGGACCGCGCCAACATGCAGGACGCGTCGGCGCAGATGGCGCTGCTGCAGTTCATGTCGTGCAACCTGGAGCGGCCGGCCATCCCGGCGAGCATCCACTGCGACCACCTGATTGTGGGCTCCAAGGGAGCCGAGGATGATCTGGCGGCCGGGATCCAGGCCAACAGCGAGGTCTTCGACTTCCTCGAGTCGGCGGCCCGCAAGTTCGGCATGGACTTCTGGCCTCCCGGCGCGGGCATCATCCACCAGACCGTGCTGGAGAACTACGCGCTCCCGGGGCTGATGATGCTGGGCACGGACAGCCACTCGCCAAACGCGGGCGGCATGTGCACCATCACCATCGGCGTGGGAGGCGCCGACGCCGTCGAGGCGCTCGTCGGTGCCCCCTGGGAGCTCAAGGCTCCCAAGATGCTGGGCGTCGAGCTGACGGGCAGGCTGAACGACTGGGTGGCGCCCAAGGACGTCATCCTCCGCCTGGCCGGCGAGCTGACGGTCCGTGGCGGCACGGGCTCCATCATCGAATACTTCGGTCCCGGCGTCAACACCCTCAGCTGCACCGGCATGGCCACCATGTGCAACATGGGCGCCGAGGTGGGCGCTACCACGTCCATCTTCCCCTACACGAAGGCGTCGGCGCGCTACCTCGAGTCGACCGGGCGCACGCAGGAGGCCCGTAACGCCGAGGCCCTGCAGGCCTTCCCCGGCGCCGGCGCCAACGAGGACGCCCACTTCCGCTTCTCGGCCGACGAGGGCGCCGAGTACGACCGCGTGATCCGCATCAACCTGTCGGAGCTGGAGCCGCACATCAACGGCCCTTTCACGCCGGACCTGGCCACGCCGCTGTCCGTCTTCAAGGACGCCGTCAAGGAGAACGAGTGGCCGGAGAAGCTGTCGGCCGGTCTCATTGGTAGCTGCACCAACAGCTCGTACGAGGACATGACGCGCGTCGAGAGCCTCCTCAAGCAGGCGGCCGACGCGGGGCTCAAGCCCGTGGCCGACTTCTACGTCACGCCCGGCAGCGAGCAGATCCGCGCCACGCTGGAGCGCGACGGCACGCTCGAGACCATCGAGGGCGCCGGCGGCATCGTCCTGTCCAACGCCTGCGGGCCGTGCATCGGCCAGTGGAAGCGCCAGGACGACGTCAAGCGCGGCACGTCCAACGCCATCCTGACGTCGTACAACCGCAACTTCCGCGGCCGCAACGACGGCAACCCCGACACCATGAACTTCCTGGCGTCGCCCGAGGTCGTGACGGCCATGGCCTTTGCCGGCACCACCACCTTCAACCCCGTCACCGACGCCATCAAGACCCCCTCGGGCGAGGAATTCCGCTTCTCCCCCCCTCACGGCCTCGAGGGCCCCGCCACCCCCTTCGAGTCGGGCGAGCCCTCGCTCGGGGTCCTGTCGCAGGAGCCCGACCCGTCGGCCCAGATCGCCATCTCCCCCTCGTCCGACCGCCTCGCCTTCCTCGACCCGTTCGAGCCCTTCCCGGACTCAGACCTCTCGGGCCTCAGGGTCCTGGTCAAGATCACCGGCAAGTGCACGACCGACACCATCTCCGCGGCCGGCCCCTGGCTCAAGTACAAGGGCCACCTGCCCAACATCAGCACCAACACGCTCAACACGGCCGTCAACGCCGAGACGGGCGAGGTCAACGCCGCCTACGACCTCGACGGCTCCCAGCACACGATCCCCGAGCTCGCCCAGATCTGGAAGGACCGCGACCAGCCGTGGATCGTCGTCGCCGAGCACAACTACGGCGAGGGCTCCGCCCGCGAGCACGCCGCCCTCCAGCCCCGCTACCTCGGCGCCCGCGTCGTCCTCGTCAAGTCCTTTGCCCGCATCCACGAGACCAACCTCAAGAAGCAGGGCGTCGTCCCCCTGACCTTTGCCGACGAGGCCGACTACGACCGCATCAGCGCTGGCGACGAGGTCGCCACCGTCGGCCTGCTCGACATGCTCAAGAACGGCGGCGACGGTGCCGTGCAGATCAAGGTCACGAAGCGCCATACCGGAGAGGAGTTCCTCGTCCCTACCAAGCACGCCGTCTCCAAGGACCAGGCTGGCTTCATCCTCGCCGGCAGTGCCCTCAATCTCCTCTCCAAGGGACTGTAAATCCTTGCTTTTCTACCAAAGGAGTAGTTATGAAAAGAAGTTCCAATATGCGCACTTTTTTTTTCCAACTTTTTTTCTCTATCTCTCGTCTCTTCTGTATATAATAAGATATATATACAGATCATATCTGGATGTATCATTGGCGTTTTATTTAAGAAACAAAAAAAAAAAGACTCTTGTTGGATAGGAAAAGGGACTTGGTGGAAAAAGTAAAAATGAGAAGCAAAGAAAAATCTTCGAAAAAATCGATTCTGTCCAAAATGCACTACATCAACACTGAAAGAAGAAAAAAAGAAGAAACGAAGAAAAAAAGTTGCTCGTAATGTTTAACGTATATTTCCTATACCCAGTAACCAACATATACGGCATATATGTATATGTAAATACATAGCCTTCCTCCGTTGCTCATACCAAAAAACTCCCATTGCTCATCCTTAAAAAACAAGGCTCCTATTCCTCTCTCGAAACCTCCCATGTCCAAGACTTCCATATCTACTTCTTGGGCGGATTATCCTTGCTTCCCTGCAGTCCTTGTTGACGCATCTCAGCAAGCAATCTCTCCGCTTGCTGCTCCGCCACCTCAAGTGCAAGCTCCTTGAGCCGTTTGCGCGCTTCGCTGTCGCTCTCTTTGAATATGATGTCCCTGTAATTCGGCCTCTGCTGGCTCCGTACCCTCTTGCTGATGCCGTTCATTGTTGTCTTTGTTGTTGTTATTGTTGCTCGTGACTTCGTCATCCTCTTCCTGGCCTCGCTCTTCAATCTCCTTTCCCTTTGACGAGATGCCCAGTCGCTACGGAAGCGTGCGCACGCCTTGGCCCATGCCGCGTTCTCCCTGACGTCGGACGGGAGCAGGTCCTCGGGAACATGGCCAAAGTGGTGGCTTTCGAGGGTAGACCCCACGCTCCTGGGAACCGGATCCAGCCTGGTGGGGAATAGTCCTCGGGACCTGGCCGTCTCCCGCCGCTCATGTGCTTCCCTATCCAGCGCACGCAACCACCGCTGGCGCTGAACCACCTTGCCGAACCACTTCTTGCGAGATGGTCGCCGCTGTATCTCGGCGGCTTTCCAACGGTGCCACTCTTCTGTTCGGGAATGTACCATCTGAATGGCAGGGTCCGCGTAAGTAAACACGCGACCACGGCCTGAAGGTTGAAAGCCTTGAGCGTGGAGGGCGCTCACTGTCACCCCAGGAGGGGGTGCCGAGGCACCTTCTTGGGCGTATATCTGTGAGTCGAATGCTGCGGAATCGAACGTGCCGGTTGCCGCGTCCCGCCCCAGGTCTTGCAGTGAGATCAGTAGCATTCTCCCCCACCCAACGGTCCTGGTTTGCTGCGCCTCTCTCTGCAGATGATATGGAGCGGGCGAATTCTGCCTTGTATCGCCTTGGTCCTTGTCAGGGGAGCTCGACGGGGGTGTCCGTGGCGTCCTTGCTGCCAGTGGGCTGACTTGTGCCACTCTATCGGTAGTGAGAGCATTGCTCTTATGGGTAGTTGGAAACAAGGTATTTGGGAGCAGCTCTGCCTCTCCGTTTTGCAGCGGCAACCCCACCTTCCTCCCGATGGAATCAACCGCAATGGGTTTCTTTGCTGATGCGACCTCTGCGGGCCCATAGGCTTGACGTGCATCCGTTCTGCTTGTACCGTGTGGAGACAGCCCTTTACTGCTGAAGTTTACCTCCCGCACCACGGGCGAAGGAGGTCCCCGGAGAGGAGAATGGGTGGCAGGAGCTGTCGGGTCGGTGCTCGCCGCTGTTTGCTGTCCTCCCACGTCAACATGCGATCCGACCATGGACGTTGCTAACGCCGCGGAGCCGAGCGCGGTTCTCGGGAGAGGCCGTACATCCGGGCTTCCAGTTAAGTCAATAAAGATGGTCGTCCGAGATGGGGATGCCGTCTCGGACTCCTCGCTGGCGTTTCTTCCTCTTGATACAGATCCAGGACCGTCACTTCGTACGCCGTGAAAGCAATTCTCTGCTGGAGGTGGACGGGCGTCACCGGTCGTATATGGTTCTTCGAGACTACCGGGCCTCCCCAGAGGAGGGTTGGACTGGGGGCCATAGGTCTTGGCGGCAGAAGAAGGAGCTGCTGGAGAGAAGGTCTTCGAAAGAAGGGTGAAGACATTCTCGGTCCTCTTCATCATCCGGTGGCCATCGCTCTTTCGGCGGTCAGAGGCTCCCAGGGGAGATGAAGAGACGGGATTGGTACATGGTGTGCCATTCGGGCCTCGGGCTTGACGTCGGCTGCACGGGTCTTCCTCGGCTGCGTCGGGGAAAGACGCAGAATTTGAGTAGGTCCTGACCCGTATCTCGGTGCCTTGATGGCTCATGTCCGCTTATGGCCTTTTATCGCGGATGTCAGAAATGGGCTCCTGGGGCATTGCATGTGCCAGGCACAGAGGCCTGGAGCAGAGACAGGGAGATTCAGGGCATGCAGTGGATGTCTCCCCTCTCAGCAACTAACTCATCTGGTTAGCCATCGGATGCGAACCAAGAGATGAGCCAGGGGCGCAGGCAGAAAGAACGAGAGCGTCGATTTCAGATCTTTTCAGTTTTCTATAAGTTTTTCCGTCATTCTCGGAACAGCAGCGGTTACGACGACCCCTTGCTGCCTTGCCTGATTCCGGCGGGAGGCAGAAGCCGTTCCCGGTGTCTGCCGCGGCCTTTGGTCTGGGCCCGTCGAAGAAGCTGGAGCGCAGACTCCGTTGTGTGGCAGTGTTACCAGTAATGTGTTCCAGAGAAGGGGAGCCCCTCCACCCCCTAGAGCATCCCATGAAGAGGCGAAGCGCCTGGGAGTCTGGGGGTTTCGGGAACCGCTGAGGGCGATGGATAGACAGGCATGGTGGGCAGAAGAGGTCGGGGTTCCCAGAGGGTTCCGTCATGTCAGACCTTTTACCATGGGTTCATCATAGAGACGCGCAGGTGGTGCGTGTAGGCAGAGAGAAGCAGTCGAAGGAGGGCTGAGCAGCTTGTTCCTCACCTGGTGATATAGTAGTATACTGGTAGCTAGACTCTAGCTGTACCGGGGGCGTTTCATGCCTCTAGCCAGGGCTTTGCGCCAGAGACGGTGGCGTGGTCACAGGCAGCCGTAGCGTTGGTGACGAGGTGGGCTGTCGGTTGGCTTCGCGGTGCCTGATCACACGGTAAGAGAGGAGAGGCCCGAGGAAGATGGTGGCAATGGTGAGCAGCAAACCCGATGACAGCAAGATCGAGTCACGGGAACGGAGAGAGCAGCGAAGAGCGAAGATCAGAGGAAGAAAGACGAGAGTGAAATAGAGATGTTCCAAGCAGCAGATGAAGACGCGCCGAGCTAGCGGCGAACAAGATGTGTGAAGGATAGGGAGGGCAGTTGATGGGGATGGTGAGAACGGGTGTGTGAGATGGTGCGTGTGATGGGGGGTGACGGGCAAAATTTGGCCGCGCGCGTCGCATGGAGTGTTTTGGCAGAGGGCAAGGTATCACTACGACGAGTAGGGAGCACTCGGTGCAGCTGCTCGGTACAGGTGCGCCTGAGCGGTAGAGGCTACAGTGACGTACCGGGCACTGTCGCGTCGCGGAGCACAGGGGAGCCGCAGGCCTGCAGGCGCCAAAGATTATGGGCTGCCCGGCCCGCTAAGCTCCAGCGAGATACCGGCGGGTGACGGTGAGCACGTACATGTACGTGCTCCGTACGGTGGCATGTAACGGTAGCAGTGATCATCTAGTTGATACCGATGCTCACAGCACACATCAGCTCCTCAGTGTTGACATATACAGCTGCAGAGCAGTGCAGAGCAGATGGGATCTCTCCAGCGAATGCGATCAGAGCAGGGCGGCCCGGGGAGGGATACGTATTCTGTATGCATATGTGGTGATGCGGCGCGCGCGCCACCTGCCAACTTCCATGACAGCCAATGGTCATAAGCGTAGCCTGGCACTCCGGTTGGTTGGATGCGCTACGCCCATGCTATTGCCAGCTGCACCTGTGCCGTACGGGATATTGGGTAATTACAGGAAGGACAGTCGTCCGTGCCGAGTATGATCATCAAGAGCAGAGAAGATGGGAGAAGCGGGGGAGAAGAGAAGTGGAAGACGAACATTTCGATCGACTACATATGCGCTCATCCTGACTTCTTGCCGTCTCGGGGGTCTTGACATGCCGATATGGTGGTCAGCCAGAGTTGCCTCACCTAGGCCCTTGCTCCCTTACAAGTTGCAGCCGCGACGGCTTGCATTGTAGGAGCCACTACCAGCTACATGTCACCTAGCACCTACATCTATAGTAAAACTGCTCTATAGAGACGTCGCTATAGTTCTACATGTACGATAGTAGGCGAGATCCGTCACGATGGGGGCGAGTGCGCGTCACACTTTTCTTTTTCTCACTCGAGAGGTAAGTTGTGTGCTGTTGGCTGTCAATTCTCAGTCTCTACCATCTCGTCGAACTTGACACTCTTGTATGATAAGTCGTCAAATTCAGCTTACCTAAGCTACGTACGATGGTGCTATGACACTTAAGCTTCTTGCCTGACTCTTCTTTCTCTGGTCCCTGGCAGGTTTTACGACAATGCCGGCAGTGCCACGAGCTTCGCGTTTCTAGGGGTGGGGGGACATCTAGGTGCTGTAAGACGGCGATATTCGACGGTTATCGCCACAGAAGGCAATCGTTATAGAGCAGTATTATCACGACAGCCTGTAGATGAGCGGCCTCCATTGCTGCGGTAGTGTTACAGCGCCGTCGCTGCTATCCTGCGTACACTGCCGCCTGGCCATCATGGCTGTGGCGGGGGTGCCTGCCCGCTGAGGCACTTGACTACCCGCCTGAGAGTACGGGACGTTATGAGCACCATTCCTACCCGTAATGCTGCCAGTGAAGCACCATACATCCCGTCCTGCTTCCCATCGATGCTCTCTGTTCATACTCCAGACTAATTGACCACGACCAACTATCCCCGCGGGGCATGCTGGCAGCTCCGACAACATCAAAACATTACTACTCGACGCGCACGAACAAACAGACCAACACACACACACACACACACACACACACACACCACACTCGCAAGCACTCCCTCTGCAACCTGCCGTCAAGGCTGCAGTGCAGCATTGATAACAACGACCACCAGCTGCCTCTGCCCCTCTTGCGCCTACCTGCTTCGCATATCGTCCCAGTCCCAGACCAGGTGATCTCCTCGGCCCACCAGTTTCGACGACACGCTCCGTATACCTCTGCGAGGTTTCACCCGCCACCAGCCTCCGCTCTCCCAGCCGTCATGGACTTCTTAAAGTCAGCCATGGCTTCGGCCATGGCTTCGGGCCCCCCCTTTCCCTACTCGTTCGGCGATCGCGTCGACGTCGACAACTCTGTCTGGGCTCTACACAACGGCACCAAGAAGGTACAACACCTCCTACATACTACTACTATATCTGACTACCTTCTGCTGTGGAGAGAGAAAACTTGCTGACCGCCTCCCTACCGCAGGACGACGGCTCAAACTGCAGCATCTTCTCCTTCGACATCAGTCCGAACCGCTCTCGTCTGCCCCTGGCCAAGAATGCCCTCAGGAAGATGCGCACCTTGCGCCATCCTGGTGTCATCAAGGTGCTGGACACTGTCGAGGTCCGTTCCCCCGCGCTCTTCTCCGCTTCGTTCGACCGGCCACGCTGACGGGTGCTTCTTCTAGACCGAATCGTACATATATATTGCTACCGAGCGCGTCGTCCCTCTGCGCTGGCACGTCCGCCGTAAGAGCTTGAGTCAGGAGACGATAAAATGGGGCCTCCACGGGATTGCCGTACGCGATACCCGAACATGGTCACCCTATTGCCCGGTAGTACGCTTACTGACTGAACTGGTCGACTAGCGGACTATAAGTTTCATCAACGGCGACGCCTCTTCGATACACGGTAGCCTCAGGGTGAGCTCAGTCTACACCTCTGAGAGCGGCGAATGGAAACTCGGCGGCTTTGAGGTCTTGAGCAGCGTCAAGGACGACGAGTCTGCCATCTACGTGCGTTACGCTCCCCCCCTCCCTCCATCAACAGACCCACGAGCCTTGGCATGGTCTGACGTGCCATATAGACATATGGGAGCCTCGTCCCCGACTCGGCCCGTTACTCCCCGCCCGAAGTTGCACAGAACGGCTGGGATTCCATCAAGAAGAACCCCATACACGCGGTCGACGCATACAACTACGCCATTCTGATATATGAGGCTTTCAATGGCGAGTTTGCCGGCAACACGGGGCAGCCGGCCCAGACCAAGGGCATCCCGCCCACCATGCACGCCGGCTACCGGCGTCTGTGCAACGCCAACCCCAAGGCACGCATCAGTGTTAGCAACTTCCTCGAGCAAGGGATCCGGCACAAATCCTTCTTCGACAGCCCTCTGATCAAGTTGACCGAGGGGATCGACAGTCTCGGTGTGAAAACGCCCGAGGAGAGGGAGCAGTTTCTCGTGTAAGCGAACCCTTCCCTTACCTTGTACCTCTTCACCAGACGTGTAGCAAACTGACAGAGCATGCTCTCCCCAGAGATCTCGGCCAGATCACCAAAGACTTTCCTGAGGAGTTCCTGACGATGAAGGTCCTTCCGGAACTCATGAAGTCTGTCGAGTTTGGCGATGGTGGCCCCAATGCCCTAAAGATTGCCTTGAAGACCTCGGCAAAGCTTTCTGGAGACGACTACGATACACGCATGGTACCCTTCATCGTTCGCCTGTTTTCGAACCCAGACAGGGCTATCCGCGCCTGCCTGCTAGATGACCTGAATGTCATGATTGACCGTCTGCCCCAAAAAGTGGTCAATGACAAGATCTTTCCGCAAATGGTTAGTCTGCAGGCACTGTCTTGGCCTCCACCGACACTCGTAAGCTGACTCGGACTATCTAGGTCGCTGGGTTTACTGATGCCGCACCTCTTGTTCGTGAGCTGACGGTGAAGTCGGTACTCGTCATCATCACCAAACTGTCTGACCGCACCATCAATGGCGACCTCCTCAGACAGCTGGCGAAGACGGCCAACGATGAGCAGCCCGGAATCCGCACCAACACTACCATCTGTCTGGGAAAGATTGCCAAGAACCTCGGAGACTCATCGCGGTCCAAGGTGTTGATCGCCGCTTTCACGCGCTCCCTGAGGGACCCGTTTGTCCACGCCAGGAATGCCGCCCTGATGGCATTGGGGGCCACGGTAGAGTGCTTTTCGGACGAGGACTGCGCCGGAAAGATCCTCCCGGCTGTGTGCCCCATGCTCCTAGACAGGGAGAGGTTGATCCGGGATTCGGCCAACCGCTCAATGGAGGTCTACCTCCAGAGGGTCCGCAAGGCGGCCTCTGGTCTGCCCGACACCGCCGCGACGGCATCCCCGGGGGCTAGTGCCGGAGTCGCATCCGGGGCCGCGTCCCCCCGCATGGCGACGCCGCAGGCCAACGAAGGCCCCGGATGGACAGGCTGGGCCATATCATCCTTCACGAACAAGCTCTCCTCCGCCGCCGGGGACATGCAGACGTCGGGGGCCAACGGTTCAGCGGTCCCGACGACGCCAAGCAGCGTGCCCACGCCCACCATGTCTCCCGGTCCCGACTCGAAGAGGCCGGCAACGGCACAGCTGGCCTCGTCATCGGCATCGTCGCTCCATCGCCAGGCCGTCTCGTCGCCCCGCATACAATCTCCCAACCCTGCGTCTGTGGCGCGAGAATTCTTTCCCGACGCGGCAACGCCGCCCGACGCCGACGACGGTGGCGATTCGTGGGGTGGCATGGCAGACGACGACGGCTTCTCCGACAACGGCCCTTCGTCCGCAGGCCAGAAGGCAGCGGCACGCGCAGAGGCATCTGCCACGCCGTTTGAAGAGGGTGAGCCGGACTTCGCATCGTGGCTGGCCGAACGGTCGCAGAAGAAGTCAGGCCCAAAGGCAAAGGCACTGCCCAAGGGGCTATCAAAGTCATCGTCGTCCACAACGGCAGCGGCCAGGAAGCCTGCTGTCAGTAAGCCGGCGTCGAAACCGGTTGTGGCCAAGAAGATTGATTTGAAGCCCAAGGAAACGGATGACGATGACGCCTGGGGAGACGGGTGGGACTGAATATCTTGTCCTCTTTTTTTGCTTCCCCCTCGATCTTGTTTTGATGAGCCATGCATGATGAATGGGAGTCTTGTACGGTGCATAGCGTACGCTTGTGCGGCTGATCTTATTTGGTGCTTGTGAGATGGACTATAGATTCTGCCATGTAGGAACTCTCAGAGGCTACTATTTATGAATAGAAGATGTTCAATCTAGGGCTTGTAAAATTAATCACGAGTATATATAGAGTAGTAGTAGTAATAGTAGTAGTAGTTCTATCCTGGATGAAGCCGGTGGTGAGAATGCAGTGATGATAATGCTGCAGCAACGATATTTGTGGAGCCGCTGACCGCAGCTTTTTTTTCTGCCATTTCTACCAGAAAAGAGCACACAGAATCTTATCTCTTTTCCCTCTTTTTTCTCCCCCACCATCATTTCAACGCCAACACACGGTCTTATTTTTTCTTCTTCTTTTCAGCGACACAACAAATAACGTATTGTCTTGGAGAGAAAAAGGCTCGAGTTGTATACGAAAAACCAACCGCTTTCTTCCACTCTGATCAAAACACAAACGATAACGACCAAAAAATCAAAAGAGGAATAAAAAAGAGATGGTCCAAGGAGCTCTCAAAAAGTCAAAGCCGGCGGCGGCCAAGGTGACACACTCCAAGAGGCAAGCCTCGAAAGTTCACAAGAGCACCAGCAACAAGAAGAGCAGCGCCGCCATCGAAAAGACGCATCGCAAATTCCTGTCTGGCATGGCGGCCAAGACCGAGGCTCTCCTCGGCGAGAGGGCCGGTCACCTCGAGCTGATCGGCAAGGGGAAGAAGGGCAAGGACAAGAGGGCTACTGTCAAGGGTGGATCGAAGAAGTTTGGTTGATCTTCGATCGTCCTGGAGAGAGAAGGGAGGGGAATGGGGTGGGGTGGGGTGGGGGAGTTGGAAGGTTGGAGGGAAGGAAGAATCGATCTATTCGTGTGATGTTACACCGCGGGAACGATCACCCCGCCCCTCGAGAGCGACGTCCTCGAGGATAGACGTGACCACGTCGAAATCCGCGTCCGCATCAACCTTCCAGCTCGACACGGCGATGCGAGCGGCCTTTTCGCCCCGCCACGACGTCCCGCTGACGTACATGCTCCTCGTGGCGTTGATCCTCTCGACCAGCACGTCGTTGACGCGGGCGTCGCGTGCGCGGAACAGGACGATGATGAAGATCTGGTCGATGGCATCACCATCACCGTCACCGTCACCCTGTGTTTCCGCTCCGTCAGGGGCGTCGGGGAGAAGGTCGTAATGCTCCGACACCTGGATGTACGACGCCAGACGCCGGGACAGCCGCACCATGCTGGTCACGTACCCCGACAGACCGGCCCTGCCCTCGGACAGGAGGACAGCGTACAGCGGCAGCGCACGGAACCGCCGGCTGTTCTCGAGACCGACATTGAGGGGCGACGGGATCGAGGACGGCGCGTCCGCTGAGGCGCTGAGGAGGTAGGCTGCATTGCCGTTGGTGCACACGGCCTGGAGGGTGGATAGGGACCGGGTGAAGAAGATGCCGCAGTCGTATGGCTATACATGCAGAGTCAGGTGACTAGTCTTTCCTTACGATGCGAATAGAAAATCGAAGAAGGGTTGGGAGGAGGCCGAATAGACAAGAAAATGGACGGAAATATAGCATACCACGTTGAGAACCTTGTGTGCGTCAATGGTGATACTGTCTGCCAATTCCAACCCTTCAACCTGCTTCTTAAGTGTCGCGAACTCATGCGAGTCGGGCAGGAGACGAGCAAAGATGCCAAAAGCTGTGCGGTCCGTCGTAATCAGCTATAGCCTGACTCTTACTCTTTCTTTTCTTCTCTTTACAAGGCATGAAAACTACGGGGGGGGGGGGGAAGAAGGAAGGAAAGCGAGAGAGAGAGAGCTCACCGGCATCAACGTGGATCCAAGCACCATACTTGTCAGCCAAGGCTCTGAGACGGGGCATATCGCGCACCGCATACCGTCCCGTGTTGACCTCACCCGCGCTGACAGATATGATGGACGCAACGGCCGGCCTGGCAAGATGGTCCTCCACAGCGTCGAGGTCGAGGATCCACGGCTCATCCCGGCTGATGCCCAGCTCCTTGACGGACCGCCTCCCCAGGCCGACGATGCTCGCCGCCTTGGACAGGGAACTGTGCCCCCCGCTGGTGAGGACCTGGAACTCCCGGATGCCCTTTCTGGAGCAAGCCTCCAGGATACCCAGTTCGCCTATACCACCACCATCACCACCAGCAGTGCTGCCGTTGCCGCTGCCGCTGCCGCTGCCGCTGCCGTCGGCGACGACAGCCTCCCTCCCGCAGGCCAGACCGAGCATGTTGCAGGCCGTGGCACCAGTCGTGATGGTCCTACCCGGGAAGGCGGCGGCGTCGAGGCCGACCAGCCGCGCCGCCATCTCCAGGGCGCTGTCCTCCACAGCGGTAGCGGCCGTCTGGGAGGGGAGGTGGACCTGGACGTTCTGGTCGATGCGGCCGACCAGGCCGTCGGCCCACTGGCCCACGGGGAGGGCGCCGCCCGTGACGAAGCCGTAGTACCGTCCGCTCTGGGCCTGGCCCGTCATGGCCGGGAGGATATCCCGCGTTATGTGGCTGACCACGTCGGCGGCCGGCCGGCCGGCCAGGTAGTCTGGCGACGAGGGGGAGGGGAGGGACGATTCGGCGGCGGCGATGGCCGACGGCGGGGGTAGCGGCAGCCTGACACCCAAATCCGACCCAGGCCTTTCGCCGCTGCGGCTGCGGTGGTGGTGAGACCGGGTGATGGCTTCTAGTAGGGCGGTCTGCGCCTCAGGGGACAGGAGTGTGGTGTCGATATCCATGGGTCTCGTCATGGTCGCCGTCATCTCCCTCTTCCTCAAAAGAAATTCCAATATATATTAGCCCTCTTTGTGAGGGGATGAGTCCATGAAAGCTGTATGATGACCCCCTCCCCCCCCTCCCGGGTTAGTTAGTGTTGAGTCAGATTGACCCCGCTGTAGGCAAGAGAAACATGGTCAAGCCACCACTCAGATGATACCCCCATGTTGGATTCTCCTTTCTCTCTCTCTCTCTCTCTCTCTCTCTCCCTCACTCACTCTCTTACTAATCCCCCCCCCGATCTGTAGCGCGCCCACCGTAGTAAGCAAAGAATCTACCTGGAAGAAAGACAATGTATATATGTATGTATATATATTATAAATAAATAAAAAAATTGAGTAAAAGTAAACACAAGGCTGCTGTATATTCGGACACATTGGAAATCATCTCACCGAGACGTAATCTCTCCCCCGCCCAGATCATATCTGGTCATCAGTGCACTCGCTCACTCACTGCCTGTCCTAGAATGTTTGCGCTGCGACGATACGATCATCTCTTTCCCTGCTTCCCCTACATCACGGTTCAAAGCTTGGGTGCCTCCTCGACCGTTCCGACCTTGAGCTTCTCACCATATCTCTTGAGGACGTGCTCATTGTGGTACTTCCAAAACTGCTTGGTAGCATTCTTTCCCGACACGCGCTTGAGGATCTTGGAGCCACCGGGATGCTCGTCGAGGAATTCTACAGAGAAAGAAAAGGGAAGAAGAAGAAGAAAGAACAAATTAGTCAACCGTCCTCTCTTTCTTCTCTCTCTCTCTCTCTTCCTCGTCTCTATCAATCGATACAAGGGAAAGTATGGATGTAGAGGGGGGGAAAAAAAGGAGGGGGAAGAGAAAGGGAAGAAAGGAAAAGAAAAACTAACGGGTCACGTCAAAGACGTCATTCTCGACAATTAACCAGAAACCATTCTCCTCATTCTTGTGCTTGGCAACCTCGACCGTGGAAAATGTCTGAGCCATGATGTCGAATACCCTCGGGTGGGGAGTTTATATATTTTAATGCGAAATCGTGCTCAAGGAAAGAGGAAGTTTCGACTAGAGAAAAAGACAGAATTTCGTTTGGTGAAATGGCTTGTCAGTCTTCGTGTGGTTGTTGCTGTATGTTGTGCGTGCGTGTGTGTGTGTGTGTGTGTGTGTGTGTGTGTGTGTGTGTGTGTTTCGAGTGTTGAAAGGAAGAAGAGAACCAACAGGATCGGTAGAAAGTGAACCGAGAAATATTAAGATTCTGGGGGAGGAGGTTAAGGTAACTAACATGAGCCTACCTCGGCATCTTTTTTTTTT